ATACATTCTCCCTTAGCCGCGCAAACTTTTCAATAGTCTTCCACCGAAGATCTCTTTTGCTAGAGGACAGGATCAACGCGTTCGAGAACCTTCCCGAAACAAAAATCGAGCATCTCGGAAATATGGTGAACGTATCGGCCGGTTAGTCCTGCGGATTTCTCAAGCCTCTCCTTCCCTCTCCACCCGCGTCGTCCCGTCGCGCGTTCCCCTTCGACCCAGAGACCGATATCCCAGGTATTATCCCATCGCGCCCTTCACCGAGAAGCAACTCGTTCGTTCCTGCGCGCGATACTTGGGCTGGAGTGGCGTTGAATCGTTGAGGAGAAACTTGGGCCGAACGAGGACGACGAACATATAGACGCGTTGTATATATATATATATATATATATATATACAGATAGACGGATAATAAACGGATAATAAACGGATAATAAACGGATAGACGGAAAAAACGATGCGCGACATATCCCGGTCCCGATCTTCCACGAAATCGCGAGGGAGGAGGCGCAGCGACGAGGCAACGACAACGACGACGACGACGACGACGACACAGCTGTAAGCTAAAGCAATTAACCAGGACACCGTGTCTATCTGTGTGTGTTACAGCGGCAATGCTGGCGAGTCAGCAGGCCGCCGCGGTAGCCGCATCGGTGATCTCGCCATTCCCGCCCAAGTGACCCGCGGCCCCCGTACTAGCTGCCGGAACAACCGGACCCACCTCCGCACAAACTCACCACACGCCTCATCATCCTTCACCGGTCAGCGGAGCAACCGCTGCGGGACATCCGCACTCTGCCACCGCTGGCAGGCAACCCTAGGATATGGCATCCGTCGAGAATACCGCTAATTCTAGCCTGCTACTTCTTCTTCTTCGGTAACGCTCTCTCGACGACGCTCGCTGGCCACCACCGTCGACGCGCACACCGGGACCGTTCCTCTCTGTCGTCGCTTTATCGTCGCGTCGCTCCACCGTACCGGCCTCTTTTTCAAGCAATCGTCTTCGTCTCTCTTACTTTCTCTCTTTCTCTCTATTATTTGTCATTCGTCTCGCGCTCGCACCTCTTCGACGACGCGATTACGAGCTTCCCAATTTCCGACTGCGAGAGAGAGAGAGAGAGAGAAAGAGAGAGGAACCTTCGAAGAGCGAGACGAACGAGAGAGCAACGAGAGAGAAAGAGAAGAAAAGGATCGCGGAAGGAAAGGGAGCGTAGAGTCGAAACGAAAGACCATTTCTTTGCATTTCATTGGTCAAACATATCGGTTCTGGTATCGCTCGAAACTCGGTTCTACTTTTTCTAGATGCGAATCGAAAGAGAGAGAGGGAGAGAGAGAGAGCCGGAACGTAATCCCGAGCAATCGCGTTTCGACGATGCCGATGTACTTAAAGATCTGAACAGAGTTGCGCGCGTACTTGTTCGTATTTTTTCACGGTTCTCGCTTATCGTAAATTACACAAGAGAAAGTATTTTTAACGATATTCGTGTTCGATTCGATTCGATTCGACTCTATGGAATATATGGTTGACCGCGTCTCTCTGCGAGGAAAATGCGAACGAACGGGTCTCTCGCGCGTCCGCGAAATTGTCGGCACGCGTCGCGAACGCGACCGAGCGATCCGCGACGATCGGTGGTGATCCAGGGACGAAAGGTAGCGAAGCCAAGGATGACGCGAGATCGGTCGTAGCCGATGAAACTCGAACAAGAAGCGAACAAATGCGACATCGTGGGTAGGAGTCGGTTGGTCGACGAAGAACGTCTTCGAAATTTCGAGAACATTTCCAGCCTGTGTCGATACGAAATGAAAACGACGCGTAGGAAAAAGAAGATGCGTTGATCTTGTCTCGGGTAGCAACTTCCTCGATGCCTGTGCGACCATTTGTTGCGTACGCAGCGATTCCAGGTTGCGGAACAGCCACGAGGCGAAAACCTCCTCGATCGCGCCACGAACCAATTTAATTTCTCTGCGACGCGAAACCCTGCTCTCGGACTCTCGGACTTTCGGACTCGAATAGTCGGACAGTCGGACGGTCGGAGTGTCGAGGCAACATTTTTATCATGTGTAGAAATTTTCCGGACAAAGCGCGCGCGAATGGGAATCGATGCCCGCGCAAATTTCACGAGAGCGTTGAATGTTGCATATTGCGTGTTCCGTATTTGCGTGTTTCGCGTGTCGCGTATTGCGTATCGCGTATCGCGTATCGCGTATCGCGTATCGCGTATCGCGTATTGCGTATTGCGTATCGCGCGCGCGCGTGTGTGTTTTGTGTATACCGCGTACGAATGTTTTAACGAGAACGTTGTGCATAACATTGACATAACCTACATTACGAATCGTTGTATTTTATTGTAAAAAGGAAATTCGCGGATACGCGAACTCGACATTTTTGTAGAGAAAAAATTGTGCAACCGTTGGACGACAAAAATACGATTCTTTCGGACAGTTTGATCGCCCATCGATATATTGTGTCGGTAATGATATCAAAACAAAAAAAAGGGGGGGGTTGAGGGAGAGAAAAAAAAGAAAACTAATAAGAGATACTCGTCGCGTAGGACGGTGTAACGGAAAAAATTGGGATTCTAAATAATGGTAACGCGACAGTAAGCGATTGTACATTGAATACGCTAGAACGCTATTTGTTTACTAAAAATAACGGTAGTTAGCGGTACGCGAATAACGTAGGGAGGGTAACGCTGCACGAAAGCGATCGAGATTGACCGTAATTGCGAGAATGGAAGAGGAACAAAGTAAACGCGTGAGAGGTGTATGCCTCTGCGCGCGCATGTGTGTGTATGTGTGCGTGTGGCGTGCGTGCGTGCGCGCGTGTCTGTGTGTGTGTGTGTGTGTGTGTGTGTGTGTGTGAGAGAGAGAGAGAACGAGAGACAAAGAGAGGGAGGATGAACGGCCAGGCAAAACGAAGACTAAGACTAATTAATGAGAAAAGGAAAAAAACCTATTAGGTGTATAATTAATGCCGCCGCGCGATACGCTCGCAAAGTATCGCGGCGGTTACCTAACATTAGTTCAGTATCAATTATTATCCTTGTATCTTTTATTACGATTATTCATTAATAATTATCGGTTACATTATTTTATTATTGTATCGACGAGAGATGAAAGCGTTGTACGATTCGAACGATTGGTAAAACGCGTTGCCGAGAATCCGAAATTAATTTTATCATGCCGTGCATACTATCGCAAATGCCAAATAAAACGAGAAAGAGCAAGGCGTGGTTATTTTCTTTTTTTTTTCTAATTCGAGTACAACAACGATTCGTTTCTATACGTGTATAGCAGAGTGTGCACAGAAACGCGGTGGGAAAACGTGTTCGTCTCAGTTTTAATGAGACGTTCGAAGGAGAAAAGGGGGGCAGGCTTTAAAGTAAAATGCTGGTGCTGTGCTGTGATTTTTATAAAACAAACGAAACATTGAGGAATGAGCGAAAACGGGAGATTTACGGACGACCGTAAGAAAATTTATTCGTGAAAATATGCAGATAGCCTAAGTACCTGGACCTGCCCTGCACTCTCCGCAAAACATAAACTCCTGTAGAAAGAATGAAACAGAGAAAATTTTTGGAAAACCGAGAAAAAGAGAGAAAATAAGGGAACGGAAAAAGAGAACGATGAACGAACTTGTGAACGGATTTGTATAGGCTGTAAAGTGTATTTGCTTTTAAACAAAATTTAATGTAGATCGTTAATCGCTGATTACGCGAGAAAAAGGAGCTGTCTCCAATCGTCGAATATACCAGAACGTTCCGTTCCATTCCATTTCGCAAACAAACAAAAACTAGCAAACGCGCAAACTCGCAAACTCTCGCAATCCTCGAGGCAAAACGATATACCGAACTTACGACGACAAACGGGATTCTTTGGTTTCGTTTCTTTTCCCAAAACCGTACGGTATTCTCGCACGGTTCCCCCTTTCCCCTCGCTCTCCTCGACGATGATAGATCGTCGTCTCGCGTCGTCCCCCGCCTTGTAACTCCGCGATCTCTCCATTAACGAGAATTCTATCCTCTACGAAACTACGCGCGCGAAACTAACGGATGTAATTAGCAATTGGAGACAACTTCCAAGTANTGTCTGTGTGTGTGTGTGTGTGTGTGTGTGTGTGTGAGAGAGAGAGAGAACGAGAGACAAAGAGAGGGAGGATGAACGGCCAGGCAAAACGAAGACTAAGACTAATTAATGAGAAAAGGAAAAAAACCTATTAGGTGTATAATTAATGCCGCCGCGCGATACGCTCGCAAAGTATCGCGGCGGTTACCTAACATTAGTTCAGTATCAATTATTATCCTTGTATCTTTTATTACGATTATTCATTAATAATTATCGGTTACATTATTTTATTATTGTATCGACGAGAGATGAAAGCGTTGTACGATTCGAACGATTGGTAAAACGCGTTGCCGAGAATCCGAAATTAATTTTATCATGCCGTGCATACTATCGCAAATGCCAAATAAAACGAGAAAGAGCAAGGCGTGGTTATTTTCTTTTTTTTTTCTAATTCGAGTACAACAACGATTCGTTTCTATACGTGTATAGCAGAGTGTGCACAGAAACGCGGTGGGAAAACGTGTTCGTCTCAGTTTTAATGAGACGTTCGAAGGAGAAAAGGGGGGCAGGCTTTAAAGTAAAATGCTGGTGCTGTGCTGTGATTTTTATAAAACAAACGAAACATTGAGGAATGAGCGAAAACGGGAGATTTACGGACGACCGTAAGAAAATTTATTCGTGAAAATATGCAGATAGCCTAAGTACCTGGACCTGCCCTGCACTCTCCGCAAAACATAAACTCCTGTAGAAAGAATGAAACAGAGAAAATTTTTGGAAAACCGAGAAAAAGAGAGAAAATAAGGGAACGGAAAAAGAGAACGATGAACGAACTTGTGAACGGATTTGTATAGGCTGTAAAGTGTATTTGCTTTTAAACAAAATTTAATGTAGATCGTTAATCGCTGATTACGCGAGAAAAAGGAGCTGTCTCCAATCGTCGAATATACCAGAACGTTCCGTTCCATTCCATTTCGCAAACAAACAAAAACTAGCAAACGCGCAAACTCGCAAACTCTCGCAATCCTCGAGGCAAAACGATATACCGAACTTACGACGACAAACGGGATTCTTTGGTTTCGTTTCTTTTCCCAAAACCGTACGGTATTCTCGCACGGTTCCCCCTTTCCCCTCGCTCTCCTCGACGATGATAGATCGTCGTCTCGCGTCGTCCCCCGCCTTGTAACTCCGCGATCTCTCCATTAACGAGAATTCTATCCTCTACGAAACTACGCGCGCGAAACTAACGGATGTAATTAGCAATTGGAGACAACTTCCAAGTAAGGATATACTTTAGCGAGTACTGCGTATTTGCCACGATGTTGCATAATCCATTACAACAAATTCTCGATCGAAGAAAAAGAACAAGCGACAACATAAAATGGACTGAAATGTAACGTAACGTAACGTGACGTAACGTGACGTAACGTGACGTAACGGAACGTAACGTTAACGTTAACGTAACTTAACGCAAACCTAATAAACAAGGACCCGTATTCTCGTCTCCTTTTTTTAGAATGATAAAAATAGCGAGTCGTTGCGCTTTATATATTATACACTTCGAATATATGAATATACGAGTAACATTACGTACAGAAAGCAAGTACAGAAATGCAGGCATCTTGTCGTTAAATTGTAAGATATTGTGTTCAAGCTCCAGAATGTATTCTGATCCCCTTCCTCAGACTACTATATATTAAATATATTGTGCACTATGCTCCAACTTGTCCATACGAATAAATACATTAAAAAATCTCACTATACGATATCTTATGGTTCTCGTAGCAGTCGATTTGTTGAGTTTTTCCGGTGTCGCATGTTGAATTCCGCGCGTATTTTCGAACCCCCTGATGGCGCGAAAAACGACGAACGGCTCGACTCTTCGACTGTTTTCGACCGCAACGATAAACCACGGTCGCGCAGTGCAGCGAAAGCAAAATAATCGTTCCGTTTGTCAAAAGTCGTTCGTCGAAATTGTTCAACCTTTCATCAAAGTCGTTGCCATCGCGCGTAACCGTCGCAATTTTTTCCATCTTTCAAGTCCGACTGAAAAAATACGTCGAGAAGAACGTTTTATTTTATATCAATTGCAATTGTAGGTTAAGTGTCGTAACCTCGTTTCGTCCAAGAATCGAACATCGATAACTCTGTCTCAAGAAATGCTCGTAGAATTCCGTAGACAGATTTATCCGATATAAGAATATTTTCTTTTCTGTAAAATGGACGAAATAGAATACAAGTTACAATCTGCAAATCCTGTTTTAATATCGCACGTGAGTTACGCCGATGCGCCTTTTCTGAAATCAATGTATCCACTTATTTTGTTTTGCCATACAATATTATTCTAACGTGTTTCTTTCTGCAGGCAATAGCAAAGCTTTTCGATTCTATTAAGAAAAAGAGACACGATCATGCCGACGATAAGATTTCACAAGTAAACGATATTTGTTGGTGTTGGTGGTGTTTAGTCTCGAACGATTCTGGCGGTCTTTTTAATGTTTTCGTTTGCGACAGTTGCCCGAGTTCAAGTTGTTGTCGGCGAAACGAGATAGTGCGGATGCCGCTGTCAGCATATCCGCTTGTCAGGCTCTTATAGCGCTGGTCGAGAATGGATTTTGGAACATTGGCGAGGCACTGTCCACATTCGTGTCCAGTCTTTCCTCCATCAAGTAAACCCCTCCAAGCGATTTTTGACTCGATCGTACGACCAGCTTCTTCGTAACTTCGTAACAAACATGTTCTATGCTTCAGAAATTATACGGTTGCTACCACGGCTATCGGGCATTTATTAATCATGCATTTGAAAAACAACAAGGAAGACGATGCCATGTATCCATTTACGCTTCATGCCCCTCAACACCCCTTCATTATGATTTTTAATCGGGACAAATACAGTTGGCAATGCGTGTTGAATCAAATGGCACGCGTTACGAATCACCAAGATTCTCGGTACGTAGAAAAGCGTACGTTTCTTTCTTCTTTTTTAATATGTTTCCACCCGTACTAAGAGACCAAGTATTTTAGAGTCAGAAAGAACAGCGTAGCAATGTTACGGCCTGTTTTTCTCTATATTTTGTGTAATCCTTTTCCAAATCCACTGGAATGCTGCGCGCAACAAACTTGGCAGTTGTTGTCTCGATCGGAGCACAGCGAATGTTTGCAGATGGAAGTATTGCTTTGGTTGCACACCGCCGACGTTTATTCTTGCATAAATACGAATTATAGAATTTTAGAAGTTGCAAAGAAAGCGTCCCGAGAAAACGATAAAGATTACTGTACGGCGATCGCTCCCGTGCTGGCATCATTGTCTATTCGATTGTTGAAACACGGATCGGATCCAACACCAAATTTCGACACGCTGCTCGTGATCATAAATCAATGCGATGTCCGCATAGGAGATTTTATGTTGGCGTTAATGGCAGAAGCGATCGTTTCGTGTCCTGCCATTTATTTGCACGGTACCTTGCAGATATGTAAGCGCTTCAAATTGTCAGATACCGATCGATCTTTGCGCTTGTAGTTTTAATTCGAACGAATTATGTTATAGGTGCAACGATAACAAAGAAATTGTCGTGCAGCGACATATTTTTGAATACTTTGATAGCATCGATGTTGAAGTGGATGGCGTATCCGTCGTTATTGTGCTCGGATGCGTTGAATATGGCAACAAATTTATTGAGAGAGATGTTCGTTGAACGACGTACCGGTTACGACGATACGGCGTTTACGTGTAAAGTCTTCGAAGCGTTCGCCAACTTTGATCCGTATCTTCAGTTTTACGCGGAGATCGTACGTTGTCTAAACATCTGGAAGAAAAACGATATTTTACTCTGGTTGAAACAGATGTCGCGGGTACCGATCGATCTTAAATGCAAATGCAAACTGTTGCTGTCCGGCCTTTTTATAGAAACGAACGATCCGATAATTGCCGAGTCGAGTTGCAACGTACTCGTCGATGTCTGTAGAGAAGAGAAAAGTTTCGAGTCGCATCTGCTATCTCTTGTATTACATAAATTAACCAAGTCGAAGGACAGCAGAGAACTGAAGTATCTGTTGCTGGTTGTACCCGAGCTGGCAGCCAGTAAAGAGAACGTCCCGATTATTACGCACACGTTGGACACGCTGTTACACGGCGACAAGCAACTGAAATGCTTCGCCGTTGAATTGTATTTGAAGATGCTGAAAGAGCAGCCGATGTGTTACAGATTCGTTTCAGCTGCGATAATTCGTCTGATGAAGACCGATCTCTCCTGGCATTCGAATGCGACTTGCGCGAGAGCTATGAGATTCGTTTGCGAAAATCATCCCGAACACGGCGAAGCGTTGGTACCGTTGCTATCGGAAATACTGAATCGTTCGACGGACGCGAACGGCGGAACCGCGAGCGCGCTCGCTCTCAAAAGCATATCCGCGCTTTGCAATGCTTCCGTGATAGATATCGCTTCGACGTGGAAAGTGCTGGCCCCGAAAATGGAGAAAGAAAAGCGTACAATCGTTCTGCAAAGTCTCTGCGAATTGTTTGCCGATGTTGCATCGTATCCGTCGTTTCTATCTGCCGAAACGTACGATCATTTGGTCACCGATGTAACATCGAATCTATGGATGTACGCGACATTCAACAATCCGAGGGTCGCCGAGTCTGCTTTGAAAGCGCTGGCTTCGTTTTCTCTGGAGCGTATTCCTCTGGAAACGTTACCGTTAAACTTTCGATCTCATCTCGCGGCGTCCGACGACGCGACCGGTGACGAGAAACCGAAAACATTGTTTCCATATGTACCTGCTAGCTGTTGGATAGAAATGCTTAAAAATATCAACAAGTCGGCCCTGTCGAGTGCTGGAAATCTCTTAATTTCTTTCGTCAACGAAGAATTGGGGAACTTTCGTTCTGGAATTTATATCTGGCCCCACGGTGAGCCACAAAATTACAAATATTTGCCAGAGAAGAGCGTGATACGGGGGGTCGGTGAATACTTGAGACGTTCCGACAAATCGGAACCCAACGATCACCGCGTTATCGCGGAATGCCTGAGAATATTTGCTCACAAGTATACGAAACCGTTACCCAACGTAAACTGGAGTTTCCTCGGAGATGTTATCAATCTGTCGCCCGTAACTAAGGCATATACCCTTGCCATTGCGTGTCGTCACGCGAAGATATCTTTGTCCGCGAAATCTTTCATCGAAAACTATCTGTCGACGTATCAATCGGAAATTGACTCCGACTTTGAACTGAACGTTGACGAATACACGATATTGTATCAGAATCTCGACGATCTGTGTCAAGCTGTACAGCCGAGTAACATGAAGCCATTTTTAACGGCTACGTTGGAACATGCGCTCGAGAAGATGCCGTTCGATAACGAGCGTTCGAAGAACTTGTTCGATACCATTATGTTCTCGTATGCTCGGACTTTAAAACATCAGGACGTGTACGATGGAAATTTGACGCTGTTAACCACCTTGCTGGAAAAGCTTTTCGACCAAATCGATTTGACGTACGAACGATTCGAGTCTTACGTTACAGCCGTTTTAGAGTTGCCAGCGAAGCATATAGAAATGATTACATCTCCTAGAACATGGTCCGAGGTAACAGCTAATAGATTAAAAAATGCGACTGCGATCAGAGCCGAACTGGTTCTAAAGAAATGTTCCGAGACACCGTTAACATGGTTTAGCGAATTAATCGACGAAGCTATTCTTATGCCTAGGTAACTATTCGCGTAACATAAAATAACATTATGTCTCGTAATCGCATTAATGTTGCTCGACAAGTTTTATCGGGTTTCTTTCAGTATACAGATATATTTTCTCGAGGCTATTCAAAGAGTACACGTTGGAATACATTCTGCCAAATCTATTATAAATTGGATATTAGAGTTCATGACACAGATTCAGGTACTGTTGTTAGAATCGATGCAAGACCACAGTAGCAAAATAGAATTCTACTGCAATGTTTTATTCGTTTCTATCATCAGTTTGTCCGGCATTGATCGTATTCTGATAAAACAAGATTTATCGGTGACGTCGACAAACGTCCGGATCGAATTATTTCCTCGAGCTATCGTGATTCTTTCCGACAGAGAAGATTGGAAGTCTGCGATGCCGCAGGTATTTCTTTTGCTTTCTTCTTATTGCAACAAATGATGGTGCAGGTTATCGAAAACAGACGAATATTTTATTATGCGTTACACGTTTTAGATCATGGAATGGTTGAACCATATGAGAACAAGTGCTATTCCTAATGTTTACAAACTGGCTTTCCATCGTTCGCTAATATGTTTGAGACACAATCCATATTATAAAGACACGTGGACCAAATATTTATCGATTAGAACCGAAGTGTAAATAAAAGTCGTATGCGACGAAAGTTTACGGAATGCAATGAAGAAATTTATGTACCAACTAAACAGATGTTTCACTATTGTCCAAAGCCATGACCGTCAGAGTATTTGGTCTTGATCCGGTTAATGTATGGTCTTCCGGTAATTTCATCCTAGGTTCCAATATGTTCCGTTTTGTCTCAACACTTTTTTTTATAGGTGTACGACTCGGACTAGATTTTCTACTGCTTGGATAGGATTTTAATAAACGGGCTCTAAAAACAAACAATTGAATTTAGACTCTTATTACTGTTACCGCATTATAAACATCTTAACCCAAAAGCTTCTGCTGTTCTTTCCGCTTTCGAACGACGGTGGTACTTACGCATCCATTAATTTCAGAAACAATCGAGTGTACACTTGATACTCGTCGTCTCCAAATTCGGTTGGATCGTGCCTAGCGTGTTCGTACAAGTCGCAAAACTGATGAATTAATCTTTGACCGCTACCGTTCAGTGGAGTAGCTAGAGTAGAGAGCAGATATGCTCTTAAATTTTCAGACGGATGCCTTTTCAGACAACTATCGTACTTCGTAATTTCAGCTTCTATGTACGGTGACAAGGCAAGAATATCAAACATCGATTAAATTATGCTCTAATCACCGATTTTTGACGCAAGGAACATAATAGATATAGTTACCCAACGATCTGATATCGTCCACCGCTTTCAATCTATAGTAATGTGGTGGAACTTGTGCACGAGGAGTCACGATAAATCGTGGATCGCTAATAAGTTGCGGTTCGTACTGAATCCTTGGTATTACTTCTATTCGCCTTTCAATTTCCTTCTTTAGTGACTAAACAATTAGAAGAACGTCACAGTTTTCACATTAACATCGAATGTATCTATTACTCGGTCATACCTTCCTTGCATCGTGTCCGATCGGAATATGAGGGCCTCGACGTGATCTTAAAGCGAATCTCATAATTTGACGTTTCGCAAAAATAAATAGCAATAACATTGTTAATACACCAGCCGCGATAAATATAACTATCGTCACACCAGAGAGTTCTTCCGTCATGTTTACATTATAACACCTTTTCGTTTTCCCATTCCTTGTCACTCGAAGGAGAGGTTATATATGATTTCACATTTCAGTATTATCACATTATTGAGCATCGTACGCAATTAATATAAACTACGATATTTCATTTGGTTGCATCTCGACCATTAAGCATTCTCGCGAGTTCAATGAGATCCCGTGGAATCATTCTCTCTGTTAACCTCCCAAACACTATCTGTGCATCCAGAGTAAATGTTACACGACTCTGGAAATTTAAAATGTTCTTTGCCAGCAAGTCGTCGCTGATATGTTACGTGCATGCATACAGCACTCGGCTTGCACTCGTAGCAATTATATATTTTTGCAAGATGAAATACAGTAGGGGAAAACATCTATAACGCAGGTTATATTAAATCTTCTTCAACGTTTCTTCCAATACTATTTATTTATTTCACACTACTACCTTATACGCACTCCAGAATAATGCATTAGTAACATTTTGTGTTACATACAATTTAAATAACTCATATTGTAACTTTGCAAAACAATGTTAAAGCTAATAAGTTGCAAAGCTAAATGAACAAAATCAAAAGAACAATTATGTTTGTCTTCTTTTGTAATAAACAATTTATTATAGGACTTTTAACAGGTTTTGTATGGGTTTTTTGAAAAATGTTTGATTTATATTAGCAATTTCCTGCATTAAGAATTTCTGCTGGTCAGAAAAATTCAAATTTACTTTTATGAACAACAGTAAAAGTTTTCCAAAATTTTTCTCTCTAGAAAAATCGAGTGCCTTTTCAGATAATAGTTGTATGAATTTATCTTTTGTTACATCGTCTAGTTTCACAGATATTAAATTATCCAAAACAGGAAGATGCCATAGCTTAAGTTCTTTCACGTGCGACAAGTATTCCCTGCAAACATTGTTAAGGTTAATCGACTGTCTAATAAAAGTATATTTAATGCGAGATGCTCCTAAATTTTAAAAATGCTACTTTCTATACATACATGATTAGAACAAGACTTCGTCCATGTTCAAAAGTATGTGTTATAATATTGACAATTGTTGTATCTTTTAAATCGACATTTAACAGAGGAATAAAAATTAATTTTTGAATGTCATCTGGGAATTTTTGTACGCTTTCTATAATAGCAGACAATAAGAGTCTCGATGGCTCTTCCATAAAGATTATCTACAACATTTAAATTTATCGCATTACATCGATACGAATAATTATCGCAAAGGACATATGTATATAAGTGTTTCAATTACCTTTGGTAATAGTAAGTAAGTATAAAAAACTGATGCATATTTCATTCTTTCTTCTATACTCATATTATTCAATGAGTGACAAACGTTGTAGGTACCTGTCGTGCTCAATTTCTTTTCTAAATCGCAAACAACCTCTACAAATTCTTCGTCCTGTAAATTTTCCAATAAATTTACATCTAACTTCCCAATGGGACGTTCTAAATTTTCCAAAAGATATTCTACAATATCACATTTTTGTATAATATCCCTTTCAAAATCATTGCCAAATTGTGTAAAATAAAATTGAGTAGATGGAAATTGAGTAGAATCGGCTGTTTTAGATAAATCGTTGTCATCATCTTCATCATCTGTAGTTATTTCTTCTATGTGTACTTCACTTTTCTCCTAGATAATGTACTTTTAAATATTCAATACTCTTTTATTCTTACTCTTTATATTAGTAGTAGCATAAACTTCCTGCCGATACGAACCTTTCCTGCTACAATGGCCCACAAAGGATCGGTCTGATGAACATTCTTTGACAATTCTTCTTTAACCGATTCTACTTCCTCTACAATATACTGAGACAATACGTAATATTTTAAAGTATTATTTCTGTTCATGATTTCGATAAAAAATTAATTATTGAATTATTAATTTCTTATAAAAAAATTTCTGTTGCACGTTTCCTACTGAAAATGAATTAAATATGCTGAATTAAATGCTGTCTCAAACTTCGGGAATCTTCACGAATGATAACAGTGAGTAAGCTAAAAGAAAAATATTTGCTACAATTTCTATGTATTCTGATTTATTACAGGTAAGGAAGTGTATATTTACTTCAAATCAGCCCTCGATCAACGGAGTCAGGCAATTTTTTGAGACACTTGTATTACTTTCTTCTTCACTACCCCTATCACTTCGTTATTATGTTGTGTACATCCACAATATTCACATTTCACATTCCCATCACAGCGCTCTTACTGGTCGGTATTGTAATCGGCTAATAGTTTAAGCGCTTTATAAGAGGAGTTACATACATATGTACTATGTATCGCTTGTGTAAATTTGGTTAGCAGTTGAGTTTGAGAGTTTTGCGCCACTAGGCTAATTGGTGCTGACGCTCGTGAATCATGAGTCATTTGTATCTTGATGGACCCGTACTCTCGCCTCGAGAGTAAGAGACAGTTAGAGGCGCGCCACTATCGCCTAAACATTACTTTATCCTTACCGATAGTTACGTTACATTATTCTTATCGCGAAAACGGTAAGAATCATCTGTGCTGTATATTTGAAATGTTTGTAATAAACAGTCTTTTTTATCTTCATGGCTAACTTGGCAAAGATCATATATGTATATAAGCTATAATAAATATTCACCTTCCTCTATAATATTGGACACAATAAACAGTTTTCTTTGGCATGAAAACTCTTTCACCAAACTCTTCATCGTCTGTGGGTAATTACACAAATCATTTGATCGATGACGGTACGTATTGCAGCGATAGCTAAAAGAGGTTATATGTATATAATATCGAAATAACGTAGTCACACTGTCGTGCAACATTGTTCGAGGAAATAAAATAAAAAAATATATTCCCACGAAGGAAAAGTTTAAAATGAAACCTAAGAAAAGACTCAGTTTAGTTTCTCGATCTTAGACTTTAGACTTTAAAAGATTGGAAGCGTATAACAAAAATCTGTGATAGAATAGCTTCTTTATCGGATAAATTTAAGGGTATCGAATCGAAAACTTCGTGTATTGGATTACGAAATTCTCAAGTAAAATGCAATTCACGTACGATGCACATGTATGGTTGTTGCCTTTTAGTATAGTGTAGGTACTTCAAGGTCTGAAGTTCGTTGATATAGAATATGTACAGTACACATAGAGTGTGATTCATGAAATCTCGAAACCTGTTGCTTTCTTGCTTTCCGTGAGTACTTCGTACATATATCATAAAATGAATTGATAATACATACATAAATATCCATACCGACCATTTACGAGTGCATCTATCATTTCGAATAGTAATGCGTGTTTCCAAATCCAAATTATTCAAGTATCCGTATTTCCTAGATATTTAATGTTTGGGCAGCGAATGGAACATAATCGACGAAATAAGATGCCAATACTTGCCAACTTGTCTCGAAGATTTCATATGTTGACGACGGACGCAATACCTGAACCACCACGAATAGAAAGTAAAGAGTATACTCATAATTTAAACGCGGACAAGACTAAAGAAAAATCGAATGCAAAATCGGAAACTGACAATACACAGACCAATGGTTCTGTACCTACAAATAATTCTCCTGGGACAGAGAAGGATGAAGCGAAGTTTCCCACTTACGATTCGAAACAACGTTATAAGACTAATGCGAAAACGAAAACAAAGCCTAAACAGTACTGTAAGTATGTAGCCGTTGTCTTGAAAATAAACGATCCGCTCCGAAACAGGTCGTAACAGGTCGAATTGTAACATCTGAGCTGCAAATATATTTTCAGCGCAAACAGCACGTACTGTAAATTACAATATAATTAATTCGAATGGAGTCAAGATTGGCTCGAGAACCAGTTACATTTGCCATGTTAATCAGGTTCCAACGAAAGATACCGCGACGTCGGAAGATTTTGGGTCCAAATCGTGGAAACAAGAGATGCCTGAAAACGTAAAATGTTTATGCCAATGCACCGATGAAATTACTTTGGAAGATATACTTGTTGTTAAGACGCACATTGGGCATGGCTGGAGAGATGTTGCCAGAAAATTGTCATATTCGGATGGTCAAATTGAACAATTTGAAGAAAATTATTCGTTCAAAGGAATAAGCGAAGTAGGTTCCATTGCTATATATCGATATACCATTTTTATATTTCTTTTTTGTTAAAAGCACTAAGTCGTAACATCGATTTTCAGGTAATTTATCAAATGTTCTTAGACTGGAAACAGGCTAATACAAAGACTGCCGAGATCGGTAATTTGACAAATGCACTGTGGGCTTGTCAAGAATACGATTGTGCCAAAAGATTAGCCACTTCTCGGAAAGATTTTATTTGATACATTCATTTCTCATCTTCGAGAATTAAACAATTTTTACAATATTTGTCACTTACAAGTTAAAAATTATTTAATATCAATTAGTATTTGTACTTATTAAATTGTTAAATATCAGACAGGCAACGGATAACAAATTTGTATATAATTAAACCTATTGTTATCTTGTGAGTCGTAAAACTCTATCGATCATATGTACACATTACAACAACGAAAATGTATAAAAATCAATAAAGTAAATATTTTACTAATTGTCGCTTCCATTTGGGCACGTAGAATTGAGCGGAGCAATTACCTTTTTTACAATACTTCTATCTTCCACTGCTGTACCAAAAATATGATTTTTACAATTTTCAAACTCGTTTACCATGTCATCTAACGTTCCATTTCCATCTAATACTAAGACAGGTGCCGGTACAGTAAATAATGATTGATGATACAACCATTCGTCATGAATCGCATGAATTTGTTCCAAATATTCTAACGGCACACAATTTTCTTCGGCTCTTGCTCTTATTTTTAGCCTCCGATACACAATATCTGGAGATGTTCTTAGATATACTGTTTTAAAATAAAGATAGTATTAATTCGAATAATTAACATTTTAATTTCAGCTAACGAAAGCATAATTATCGTACAAACTGTTGTCGATACCTTACCTATTAAATCTGTCTCTAAATTAACATTTTTTGTGTACCAGTCGAACCAATCTTCTAAAACAATATATTCTACGTTCTGCACCATCTTTGTACGTTTCATGTTTTCAATAAAACATCTTGCGCTGTATGCAGATCTTTCCATAATTTTGTACGGGTGTGGAGTTTTATGCGTATGCAATTGTAGCATCGTTAACTGTACATAGGATTGAAACAAAAAAGCATAACGAGTAGGATTCTTATACATCAACTCCTAAACATTGAAAACACATATTCGTTAATTTTTAATTTTTCTTCGTAACGCGCGCGTACCATTGGTACATTGAATTTTTTAAAAGCTTACTAGCAAGTTTGTTCCACCCACGTCACGCCATAATTCTACGGGTTCCTGTAAGACTGTGGTGTTATTAAATTTTTTAAAATGATTCAAGAATGTTGTTTTACCACTTCCTATGTTCCCCTCTATGCACACGGTAAACGGTCGTTTGTAAAGTTTACGATATTCGTTGGTCATTTTTGACAGTAATGTGACCACAGTTTTCCCTTTAAAAGCACAAAGAACGCACATTATACACATATATCACCACGTAAAAGTGTTTGAAAATCTTACTTACGATTATAAACGTAACAAAAATATCGACTTTCTTTTATAAGAAGAAAAGTAAAAACAACACTGATTGTGCAAAGAGACGGAAACTAATACTTCACTTTAGGCGGGAAAATATCTGCTCGACACGACTAAAGCCGATGACGTGTACAGGGAACAGGGACGTATGCATCGTTAAAATAGTTTCTAAAATGAAAAGATCGAAGTGTAATTGTTTCATAGTCACGCTTTCGGTTTATAACAAATGTCATCCTATTCGTTTCAGTATGCTGAACGCGAAATATTATGTTTTGTTAAAAATGAATAGTTCTGGAGTATATATACAACATCGGCTACTACTACAGAGATGAATCCTACATTGTATGTACCAACGTGTTGTGTCATGACGGCGCGCTACAGTCAGTTGCAGCATGCTTGCGACCACACTTTCTCCCGACTAATCGACTAAAATTTAATATTCAGATTCTCGTAATCAGCAACCATGGAAACCTAGGCATACAACTCTGTCAATGTTTTACATTTTGACCATTATTCGGGTTTCGCTACCACTGTGAGCCGGCACTCTAAAAAGTAGAAAAGTAGGGGGCCTAGTCTAGCTGCGTGCATACTGCATAATGCGCACGCAGTAGACACCAGGTGTGGCGCGCCGTCACGGACGCGTAGGTATATGCGCAGGATTAACGATCTTATGGTAGCAGAAGTTTTTCACGAATATATCAAAAAGTATTCATTTTCGCCAAAAATGACGAATACATTTCGCGTTTAGCATACCGATAGCGTCTAGTGTGTCTAGTGATATAATGTCTATTATAATTGCAACCGATATGGAGAAAATTGATAATGTACGGTAACATTTTGAAAATATAAAAATTATTTAGAAATATCAAAGTCAACCATACATACATGTATGTACGTATTTATTAGAATTGCCTTTTATCTTGGGCCTACTGCGAGTAGATACGTTCCTGCCCAAAAGAAAAACCGGCCAATGAAGATCTATGACGCACGTGTGTCTTGTAATTACATAGTAATTTATAACGAATATTATTGACGAGTATCGTATATGAATTGTATATTATACGTTGCCATTAATTATAAAACCACAACTATGATAGAAACATGCCATTATAACAAAATAAACTGAATCTATCACAACATTAAAATAACCTAACTCGAATATGTACTACGAATTTCATGTGCACACCTTAATTACCTGCAATTACGATAATTTGTTATGTATATAATATATATATGACCAATTTAAACTTACCTTTAGAAATCATACTGAATTTCTATTATTACACAATATATAATTTGTATTTTATTGTACAATAAATTTGAATGATTTTTTTCTTGACAGTTGTTTCTTTTCATGTAATAGTTTTTTTAGCACTGGCACCATGGACTTACTTGCTTGCGCGCAATATATACAAGCAAGCAATAACAATTGTAAAATTTAACCTTCGGAGCATGTACACTTTATATAAATACGTATCAGCGTGATAACAGAGAACGGGAGACAATCGATGCCGGTGCCCCTAGGCATGGTGACGGCGGTCTGTATCGGGTCTCCATGAGGCATTTTACCGCGCTTAATTCAAAATATAGTACAATAAATTCTCTCCAATTTTTCTTCAGCTTGCGAACAAAAATGGATAATTTGGGAACAGGAGATACGATTATTCGAGTTTTGCGGCTCGTTTTTATAATTGTTGACTTTAAAAACGAGCCGATTATCGCATTGCGTATACAAAGCCCAGTTTCGCTCATTGGCTCGTCCGCCTCGCGGCAGCCGATCTCGTTTCTCATTGGTCAGCGGATTGCATTTTTGCTAAGCAAAAAGTTACTTCAAATGATCCCAGAAATCACCCCTTTACGGGTGTTAACATAATTATGGGACACCCCCTATATATGTACCCACATTAAACACGACTACAGATAATTTATGTACATATATACGTAGTTGCATACAAAATACAATTCTCTCTATGCACAAATAAATCTATGTACACGTTACTTATATTTGATTATATGAACTAGTACGAATATTTAATATTAAAGTAGTAGAATGTATTTCTTTGTAGTTATAAACATGTAGCCAAATGTACTTATCCTTGAAATGATTGAAGATTGATTGTAAAAGGTTTTGTTTCGTAGAATTTCTAATTGAATTAAGAACTCAAAAAATAATTGTTGTCGCGGGTGTCGAATGGCAACAATCGATACTAAAATTTCACGTGGCGTGAGTTGTGACCATTAATAGATATGGATTTGACGTTCGTTAGTACAAAGACACAATTTCTTACAAAATATGATTTGACGGATCATTTTTGGATGGTTAGAAATTATCAATCGAAACATAGTACGTTGTAGTTTCCATTGAAGATGGTTAATAAATTTTCTACACTGTCATAGAAAACAATTTTCTATCTTATGAAATTATGATTTGAAAATATTATGTATCATATAGAAACACGATATGTAATGCAATATTACTTGAAAATTATTCATACAGAAATATTATATTTTTGTATTCGAAAGTGCAATCAAAAATCATTTGACGTGGATTGATATCAAGGTTATAAAATAATTAGTAATTATCAAGATTGTAAAGCAATTAGTAATCATCCATTGTATATTGTAAGTTAAATTATAATAAAAACAATGCGAAATTTTGTGAGCGATCTTATAATTTGGTAAGTCATAGGTAAAGGGCTTTATGTCAAAAAGTATACCTACGAAAATTGTATATTAAAATGATGGTTTACATTAAAGTATATTATAATGATCTTTTTGTATAGCATACTACTACTACTTTCTGTGAGCCTTATATTCGGAGCTAGTGAAATTTTTCAGTCTCTACTAAATACTGGAGAAAAATTATTAGAGTCTTCCTCGTACAATTGGATTGTTCGCTTGTGTTCAAATTTATTAAGTTATGCCACTGTACTATTACCTGGTTACCTCATCTATAAATATGTTCGTCACACCAAATACATCCAAAGAGGAGGTAAAAGAGCAACGAACCATTAAAATTCAATAGATCGTTATACCAAATTCTGCTTATGTATGAAACAGGTAAAGGATGTATCCCAAGGTTAATACATTCATGTTTTATGGGTCACTGTGAAACAGGACTCTTGGACTCTTCTTATACCTCGACGCCGTCTAATCTTAATCAGCGTACTTTTATGCAAGATGCCTTTTTACTCCTATATTGCTTCTTTGGTTTACAAGTCAGCTATCTATCGTGGGGTTATTTACAAGAGAAGATAATGACACAGGTATAGTCCGAAGTTATGTTGGTACATCGATATTTGCTTTAGGACACAAATTGCAAAATAAATAAATAAGTAATGTGGATCAATAACGATTACACAATTTCAAGATCTTGCTCGACATGAAAATATTTGTTTTACAGGAATACGAAGATGACAACGGGAATAAGGGTCGTTTTAAAGATTCTCAATTTTTAGTATTTGTTAATAGGATTTTGGCATTTCTAATGTCTGGACTATATTTGGTGGTTCAAAGACAACCGCAGCATAAAGCACCGCTCTATAAATACGCATTTTGTTCACTGTCAAATATAATGAGCAGTTGGTGTCAGTACGAAGCATTGAAATACGTTAGCTTTCCAACACAGGTAGTTGACATATTATCGTTTGCTTTCGAAACTTTTATAATAACAAGTTATATCGTTGCTTACGTGTTTCAGGTGTTGGCAAAAGCTTCTAAAATTATACCAGTTATGATAATGGGGAAAATAATTTCACGTACTACATACGAGTATTACGAATATGTTACAGCTATACTTATTTCCATTGGAATGACATTGTTTATGTTAGATAGTTCTGATTATAGAAACGGTAAATGTAAAGTTACTTACATCGATGACACGTATTCGTTGTCTTGAAAATTTTCTCACTATTACCAATTTAATATTTTTAGATGATGCGACTACTGTCTCCGGTATTATTCTTTTAGGAGGCTACTTAATATTAGATAGCTTCACGAGTACCTGGCAAGACGCATTATTTACAGAGTACGGTGCAACGAGCGTACAGATGATGTGTGTAGTTAATATGTTCTCCTGTTTATTTACCGCAATGTCTTTATTTCAACAATCGAGTTTCCCTCTCATATTTTTATTTATGGCAAAGGTAATTCAAATGAAATCTAATGAAATATGTCTTTTGAATAATTATAAAAATGTTATCATTTTTTTTGTAGTATCCTAGGTTTATTATCGATTGTTTACTTATTTCGGTCTGCTCTGCGACTGGCCAACTATATATATTTTACACTATTTCGAAATTTGGCCCAGTGACGTTTGTCATAATAATGACCATCCGGCAGGTAATGAATAATACCTTCTACATGCGAATACCGATGAAGCGTATAATATATAATTTAAATTATGCATTTGTTACAGGGTCTAGCTATATTGTTGTCGTGTTTGATATATCATCATCGGGTAACAGTTATCGGAATAATTGGTATATTATTAGTATTTGGTTCTGTATTTTTACGAATATATTGTAATAACAGACTACGAGCCATTAGGAGGCGCAGAGCTGCGAATAACAGTATAAAAGATTGATCACGAAAATACAGAAAATAGGTATAATTTATTTCGATTATTGAATATATTATTGTTTAAATTCATATCCGATGAATTGTTCTTGATTCGAATCGATTAACGGTATCGAGATGAGACGCGTTGAATTAAATTCGAACGTTTAAAATTCTACCAAATACCTCTTAACTCAAAATGTAGTCTAGAGGCTGCAATTTAAAAAGAAATATATAACTTGTTTATTAAGATTATATTTATTTTCTTATAACTATTTTATGTAAATATAGAATACGATTGGATAATTTTTATAAAAGAACTGTTAATAAAAAGGATTCGATTTAACAATTGTTTATAAAAGTGGAAATAAGTATGCGCACGTGTGAATATGCAATATACACTTGTTACAAGTTACATAGTACCGAAGGTATAAAAGTCGAATATGAATCAAGTTTCATCACTGTCATTTTTTTTCCATCTCTATATTGTATACATTAAAATTCTGTGATATTGAAATTTTATGTTGCACTCGTAAAGGTGACAGAAAACAGAATCAAGCATGGGCTTACTCTTCGGGAGATGGCGGTCGATAAATAGCTATAAGGCACAAGATCGAAATGATTAATTCGGATGCCAACAAAACTAATTGTATGCTGCAAAGTATTACTTCTAGCCTGAGCACATAGTTTTGCCAGATCAAAAAATACAATGTAGCCAACGAACTGGGCACAGTTAAAACAACTCCGATCAGAATTGGTAATCCATGTTCGGTCAAGTTTCCTTTCCTTCCAAGATAAATTCTAGCTCCTTCTGTGACTATGAGGAAGAACAAAAGTGCAAACTCTGTCAGCGTTGTGCTTGTGCCGGGTGAAGGCAAATTCGCTGCCTTGAAGAATCCCATGCCTAATTCGCAAACAGCAAACATACCGAAATAAAATGAATTTAGGTACATGAGAATTTCATACGTTAAAGAGGAAGTGGCTATTGTCGGCATTCTATTAAATTTGACTCGGCATACAAACAATTGTACGTATCAGGCTTCACGTATAGCCTGTTCATTTGAATTTGATTTCTTTAATGAACATGTTCTTTCTTTCACTGTGAATATTCATAATCACTTATCGTTTTGTAATTTAGCCGATAAGAATGAATACCTTACCATATTTCTTCGTGCTTTGCCAACTATTAATAATTTAATTGAATATCCTGTAATACAACGATACAGTCATAATTCCTACCATGAAAATCTATTTCTTCTTCCAACGGTTGTAAATACATACATGTTTGTGAGAGGCGTATGGATTTAAAAAATATATTGTAATTATTGCAACAAATCGTTACTACAACTTATTTTGTGCTGAATATATACACTGCGAACAGGGGGGCTCGATTCTTAGTAAATTTTTGGGGCACTGTTTCGACTGCCATCTGAACTAGCTGCAAACTTGGACGAATTAAAATTCAATATGGTGGTTTAAAAGCGGTAATTCAAATTATGGATTCTAGAGCCAAACTGTATTAAGTGGATATTTTTTCGAAAAAAAGAATGGTCTACGGTAGCACGGTCCACCAAATGCGCATGCGGGTGGGCAGTCATATTGAATTTTAATTCGTCCAAGCATGCAAAAAAAGGCAGTCGAAAAAGCGCCCCCAATTTTCCCTATCGAGTTGAAAAAAAAACGGGCAATATGTTTATTTCAATCGAGCATCTTAGAAAAACTGTATGAAATGCGTTTATACATGCATTTGTATATGTATGTATAATGTATAATGTATATAATTATGTATATATAATGTCGAATTCCATTTGCCAGGTCTCCTCTTTACCACTTGGAATCGATTTCGAGCAGAATCCCTGACACACCATTGGACACCGTAAACACCAATGAACACATTGGCCTTGAATGGAAACTCCACGAGCGGTCGTGATGCTGGGAGATCTGCTCCGACGGCATAAAAGTACTGCAGATGCAGGGGTATATGCGTTCGAAGCTTGGGTATGGTGTATGTTGTTGTTGGTGTTTTTCCGTGAGAAATCAAAATGATAAACGTTCAAATAAGTACCGCATCTGGTGTGAAGCAAATTTTTACCGTCGTCGCACCGATTAAACTCGTCGATTTGCGTAATCGGATCGAAGATTTCACGGTAAGTAGCACAACGATTCGACATAACCTTAAAAAGTTGTGTTTCATTGACAAGAATAAATGTTCGGTTGTAGAATTTCTCGCAAGAAAACTTTTACATCGTACACAATGGAAAGCTCGTGGACGAGAACGATACTTGCTACAACGGATGCGTTTCTATCGTTCCACGGTTGCTCGGAGGAAAAGGAGGTTTTGGATCCATGTTGCGCGCGATCGGTGCACAAATCGAGAAAACTACGAATCGCGAGGCTTGCAGAGACCTGAGTGGCCGTAGACTTCGCGACATCAACGAGGAGAAAAGATTAAAGGCTTGGATCGAGAAACAAGGAACACGCGAAGAGGAAGCTGCGGAGCGGAAGAAAAAGAAATTGGAACGACTTTGCACCGAACCGAAACACGAATTCAAAGATCAGACGTACGATCGTGAAAGATCAGCTTTAACGGAAAGGGTTGGCGATGCTGTCGAAGAAGGATTCAAGGTCGCCGGTGGATCTGGGTTGAAAAGAAAATTCGACGAAGAATTCAAACCGAATAAAAGGAAAACTTTATTGGACATCGACATCGACTTGGACGAATTGGACAGTTCCGACGCAAGCGACGACGAAGAAACGAAAGTTGTGAAAACAAATCGAACCGAACTTTCGTCGAACGATAGCGGGCACTCTAGCGACGAAAGCGGTAGAATTAGCGGGAATACGGACGGGACGGAATCTAATTATTCGGAAGATAGTTCCGTTCGTAGAATAGACGATAGAAATTCAAGTAATCAGCCGGTATCGAATAAAGATTCCGTCGAGATTGATCGCAGGGAACTTTCCGATTTAAATTCAACGAAAACTACGGGCGAAGACGTTAGAGTATCTACAGGAATCGTGCATTCTTCGTTGAACGTCGATACCAAATAAGTTCCATTTCTGTATTTTGCGTGTAATATTATACAAGTATATCCGTGTAATAAAATGTTCCAACGGTGTTCCATCTGAAAATAGTATCGTTGTTTTTAAAAAATATTAATATTTTTAAAATATCGTCCAATCCGTCAATTCGTTGGCCAGTTTAGCGCCCACTGCGAACAGGGTTAACGAAGCAACGAACGATCCGTAAAAATCGTTCGTCAACATCTTTTTGCGCTTGCATCGACGCATCCATTTATAGAGATCTCGCGCGTATTTAGTACCGATCCAGTACAAACGATCGCTTTTCGCATACTTTTTTTGAAGTTGCGCGTGTACCATATGTGCCAGAGTTCCCAGACAAACGTAGTAACACGGTTTGCAACATCGTTTGCGCGACGCAAGCTGGAAATAATCGTTAGACTTATGTACGGACGCCTTATCGTATAAATATGCGGTGGAATGGCTCGGTGAAAAAATATTTATAGACGATTCTCACGTTATTGCGTGATTCGTGCTCCTCTACGGAAAATGGATCGGGCAAGAAATTGGACGACGAAGACGCGCGAGCACCGTACTCCGCGGTCATTTTCAACTTTCAATTTGTTTCGCGCAGCGATAGTTGGAAATTCAAGCGTAAATAAAATCGCCGGATATCGATGTCGATATTCTTTTGTCGCACGATAACTTGCAATTGCAAAACGCCGATATTCGGTGTTGCTATTCCGACTACGTAACAGTTGTTCCCGATGTACGTACATGCGCGTACAGCGAACGTGTGCAGATAAAATATAGCAAAAATAAAAACAAAAATAACTGTTGTAAAATTTTATTCGAAAACGTTTTAGAAAATATTTGAAACCGTGCTAGCAATATCTATAAGCTTTTTTTACTTGTTACGGTAAAATAAATAATAAAAAATCTGCCAAAGAACGAACGAACGAACGAACGAACGAAACACGATATTTTTCCGACCGTACCCGGCGCACGATCGAATCGTACGAATCCATCGAACCGTAAGAGAAATGTTCCAAGAAAAATGTTGCAAGCCAAATAGGTCCGTCCGTCGTCGAACTTTCCTCATTCTCTCCCGTTCTTCCTCGTTCTACGTCGCACGCGTTTTATCTGTACCGCAGAAACCGCGCGTCCGTCCGTTTAAAAACTTGATCGAAGCCTGTTTTCGTCGGGCAGAGATTCGAGCAACTTTCAGCCGATCGGATCGAGAAGACGAAGGTGCGGACGGGAACGTTGTGAAAAAAATCGGTGGTCGTTCATTTAAACGAAACGTTCTTAAATAGTGGGGGAACTAGTTGACCGTGACTTCGGCTAAACCATCATTGCCCATTGGCACTGTCAGTCCGCATCCCGGTCTTGGACACAACGGCCACGAATTTCGCTAGCGCACGATTATTCAAGGATCGGCCAGCAATTCCAAGAATCGTTTCGATCGCGCGAACCGACGCATCGGAAATGATCAAATCGATCGTCTCGAGCTTCTTGCTTCTCCAAGCGCTGACACTGTACGCTGCCCATGCACGTGAGTAAAATTAGTTTCACGCTGTTAAAAAAATTCTCGAAGATGCCACGTATCCGCGAAGTACAAGCAAGAAACCGCGCGTTAAAATCCTCCGCCGTTCGAGGATCGGTACGCGTAATAATCGAATTACGAAACAATGGGAAGACCCGTCGCTTTATCGAGGCAATCATCTGAACGAGAAGGCGACGAGGATACTTTCCGACACGTGCAACGTCGTCGCGCCAAGGCCAGGCAGCCGGCGCAGGACGATCGACGTCGAGCGATCAACGTTATTTTCAGAATTCGAAAGGACAATTTTCTCTACGGATTCGTTTTCTCGCGTCTTTTTCAGAGAACGCGGGATCGGGCTCGAGATGCACGACGCCGCTCGGCAGGAACGGCGCGTGCATCGGCATTCGACAATGCCCGGTGTTGCTGCACATCCTGCAAATACAACCGATTCCACCGGGAACCGTGGAATTTTTGAGGCGATCGCGGTGCAGCGCCGAGGGAGAGGAGCTGCGCGTCTGCTGTCCACTGGGAGTCGGAGAACCGGGTTTCGACACGTCTTCCCGGGGCGATCAAGACAACACCGCGGGAGGGCAAACAACGAATCCTGGTATCGATCGGAACAATCCGAATCCTGGATACGTCACCGATCCGAGCGCGCCGTACGATCTGTCCAATAATTCCTTGCTACCGACCGAATGCGGCAAGGACTTGTCTCAGAGAATCTTCGGCGGAGAGCGCACCGACATCGACGAATTTCCTTGGATGGCTCTCTTGGAATACGTGAAACGTAAGGTCTTCGTGGACGCGGTATATTCCAGAGATAATTTTTATATTAACAAAATTTAGATTTAAATAATTGTTAAGGGCGTGACTGTTGCGCGAGTCACAAGAGTCGATTTCGTATGCATAAAATGCACTTTGTCGTATAGAATAAAAATACTATAAGCCGGAAAAATTATACGTATACGTATGTTTCAGCGAACGGAAGGCAGACGGCTTGCGGAGGAGTGCTGATCAGCAAGCGTTACGTTCTGACGGCGGCGCACTGCATCGTGGGCAAGGATCTGCCCAAGACCTGGCGATTGGAGAACGTCCGCCTGGGAGAGTACAACACCGACACGCATCCCGATTGCATACAAGACGGGGACGTGATCCTGGTCTGCGCGGACGACCCGATCACCGTCGGTGTGGAGGAGCAGATCGCGCACGAGTACTACCGACCGGCCTCGAGGGACCAGACGTACGACATAGCGTTGCTCCGGTTGACGCGGGACGTCTCGTTCAGCAACTACGTGAAACCGATTTGCTTGCCGCCGAACGGGGACATCCCGAACCAGCAGAATTTGTACACCGCCGGCTGGGGAAAAACGGAGAACAGGTCGTCGTCGAGCGTCAAGTTGAAGGTCTCGCTGCCGCTCGTCCAGAGGCAACAATGCCAGACGAAGTACAGCAACTCCGGAGTGAACCTCGGCGACACGCAGATCTGCGCCGGAGGCCAGAAGGGAAAGGATTCCTGCAGAGGAGACTCGGGCGGACCACTGATGGCCTTGGAGAGAACTCGAGAGGGCAAAGGGAAATGGTCGGTCATCGGGGTCGTCTCGTTCGGACCGTCGCCCTGCGGCATGCCCGGATGGCCCGGCGTCTACACCAAAGTCGCCGACTTCGTGCCTTGGATCCTCGGCAAGATGAGACCTTGACGGAAATCTATCTTCCACCCCCTCCCCGTACTCGTGCCTTCGTTCGAACTCGTAGTTGTAACATCACCGATTCGCATTGTCTCGTAGCCCTCAGCGATCTAGGTTACATTTATACATCTTATTGTACCGTAAATATTTTTTAAATATACGATTCGCAACGCACCATTCGGATCGAAACGAGAATGTTTTCGCTCGCGATCACGTTGTAATCTCGTTACGATGCTCGATTTCATCACCGTAATAAATGGATCTCTCTCTCTCTCTCTCTCTCTCTCTCTCTCTCTCTCTCTCTCTATCGTTATCGGTTCGAAAGATTATTATTGTTTTTAGCAATCGGTTGCATTAACGGCGCGCGCAACCGTGCACACGATGTACGATCGCCGTTCGATTTTCCCCGTTTACGATGTCGCAAAAAAAGCGCGACGAGCGAACGAGACGCGCAGATGCCCCCCTGAACCGAGGCTTATCGAGAATTATCGGAAATTATCGGGAATACCCGAATCTCTGGAACGTATCGCGAACCGTTCGGTTCGTTTCGTCGACGACGAAAATGGAGGAATATACATATATCGGCGGAACTCGGAAAATGAGGAAAACAACCGCATTTTTCGGATGTTTCTCTCGATCGAAGAGAGACGACGCCGCGGCGGCGTCGGAACCGGTTTCGCGAAGCAGGAAGAAGAAGAAGAAGAAGAAAACCTGCCGCGGTCGTTGCAGCGCGATCGACCCCGCGACCGCGCGATCCAACGGAGGTCAGGCGTATTTAAAATCGCATCGCGGGCATTTCCATATCGCTGGAAGAATTTTCCTGTTTCCTGCCCCCTCCCCCGGCCGCTATTCGTTTCGCACGCTCGAAAGACTCGCCGATGTCTACAGATGGCAGCAGTTAGTGCGTCAAGGACCGTCGCGCGGACCGTCCGTCCTCCGCGGAACCTGCAAATAAACGGTTTTCGAAACTGGTTTGTCCGCTTCGCACGCGGTTTGAAAANTTGTAATCTCGTTACGATGCTCGATTTCATCACCGTAATAAATGGATCTCTCTCTCTCTCTCTCTCTCTCTCTCTCTCTCTCTCTCTCTATCGTTATCGGTTCGAAAGATTATTATTGTTTTTAGCAATCGGTTGCATTAACGGCGCGCGCAACCGTGCACACGATGTACGATCGCCGTTCGATTTTCCCCGTTTACGATGTCGCAAAAAAAGCGCGACGAGCGAACGAGACGCGCAGATGCCCCCCTGAACCGAGGCTTATCGAGAATTATCGGAAATTATCGGGAATACCCGAATCTCTGGAACGTATCGCGAACCGTTCGGTTCGTTTCGTCGACGACGAAAATGGAGGAATATACATATATCGGCGGAACTCGGAAAATGAGGAAAACAACCGCATTTTTCGGATGTTTCTCTCGATCGAAGAGAGACGACGCCGCGGCGGCGTCGGAACCGGTTTCGCGAAGCAGGAAGAAGAAGAAGAAGAAGAAAACCTGCCGCGGTCGTTGCAGCGCGATCGACCCCGCGACCGCGCGATCCAACGGAGGTCAGGCGTATTTAAAATCGCATCGCGGGCATTTCCATATCGCTGGAAGAATTTTCCTGTTTCCTGCCCCCTCCCCCGGCCGCTATTCGTTTCGCACGCTCGAAAGACTCGCCGATGTCTACAGATGGCAGCAGTTAGTGCGTCAAGGACCGTCGCGCGGACCGTCCGTCCTCCGCGGAACCTGCAAATAAACGGTTTTCGAAACTGGTTTGTCCGCTTCGCACGCGGTTTGAAAAATCACTGGCCGAAGGCAAGTGCGAACGACGGCGAATCCGTTCGGAACGCGACCGTCTTCGCTCTCGTCGACGCCGTCTCTGGCCGAGAACGAGATTCGATCGGATCGGTACACTATTGAAAAATCGGAGAGAGAATTACGTCGCGCTCGACGATCCTCGGAACGTCTTTCGGAAGTAGAAAGAAAGAACAAAGAACACGGATCGTATGAAGAATAAGCAAATAGGGGTGAAGAGTGGAGAGTAACGAGTAAAGAGTACACGGTAGAAGATATAGGAGTATAGAGTACGAAGCGAAGAATAAAAGGAAGGAGCACGGTGGAAGAAGGAGGGACGGAGAAGGAAGGGGGAAAAAGGAAGGAGGAAAGAGTAAAGTGGAAAGAGCAAAAGAATAAAGAGTAGAGAGTACAGAGGAAAAAGTAAAGAGGAAACGTACATACACCGAGCAAGCATGACTCGCTGTATTCTTCTTCCTGTACTCGTGATTCTTTTCCTGCACAGGTCCATCGCACGTGAGTAAAATCGCACGTAAGAGCGCGTAACGCGTTTTGAATTTCTTCCGAAGAATTAACTCTTATCGCGTATAATATCGTGTTTCTTTCGAACAGAAGAACGATGCAACACGCCCGAGAACAGAGCCGGCTTGTGCATCAACGTGCGGAATTGTCCGCGAGTCGTTCAACTTTTGCTACAGAAGCCCTTGACCAAAGAGGCTCTGAACTACTTGCGAAGCTTGCAATGCGACTTCGAGGGAAGAGATCCGAAAGTTTGCTGCGAACAGCAGGTGAGTAAGCGAGTATGCGACGATGTATACGGCCGGGCAAAAGAGTATCGCACGAAAAACCGATCTGTCGAGATCGTTCGGAACGCGAGACAAATCGTTTCCACGTCGGAATACGGGATAATCGGTCGGCGATCGCGTCGATTTTGTCGCGCTATCGATCGCACGGCATTTCGGATCGATTCGCGAAGTTTGTCGCACTTGAAATTTACCCTTGAAATTGAAGGAAACGTGCCGCCGACTTTGAGAACGTTGGATCAACGGGTGGTCGAACGGAAAACAAAAATGGCGTCGATTTCGGTAGCGAGAACCTCTACGGCAGATCGACGCGAGCTTCGAAAAGGGGAACAGAAAACTTGTGCTAATTTTTCTTTTAAATTTTTCAATAATTTAAAAATATGAAATTCTTACGCGAATCGAGGAAGAAAACAGTTTTCAAGGTTAAATTGTAACAAATGAAACTATCGTAACGATGCGTGTGCACACGATATGTGGTAGTTAATGGCGTCGCGCGACGCGGTCGCCGTAAGGAAATTACGATGAGTAATAGGAAATAAAATGGTTTCAGGTTCCGGTGGTGCCGGAAATCACGACGAAAAGTCCGACCTCGTCGACCGCGAACGTGCCGGATCCTCCGAACGTATCGAACCACCCGAACTTGGCGATGATAAACCAAGACTTCTGCGGTCCGGCAACCACGCCGAAGATTTTTGGCGGAAACAAAACCGGCGTACTCGAATTTCCGTGGATGGCGTTGCTGGCTTATGAAACCGGCAGCGCAGTTCCGGAATTCAAATGCGGAGGATCGCTGATCAACAAGCGATACGTGCTAACCGCTGCTCACTGCGTTACAAGACTACCCTCTGGTAACCGGAATTCGATCACTGCAAACGGATAATAATAGCAACGAATAATATTGATATAATAAAAGAAATAATATAATAAAAGAAATAATATAATAAAATATATATATATATATATATATAATAAAATATAATAAAAAATTTCGATACTATTATACTACTGTACGTAAACCGTTACAATAGAACGATATGTGTTCTCTTCAGGTACAAGACTCATCGGTGTTCGAATAGGAGAACACGATTTGTCCACGGAACGGGACTGCGACAAGGACGAGGACGGACTCGAGTCGGTCTGCGCGGAGAGATACCAAGACTTTGGCTTGGAGAGCGTGCATTTTCATCCCGATTACATGCCGAGGACGGCGCAGAACGACATCGCGTTGCTGCGATTGAACGGAGACGCCGATTTCAGGCCGAAGAACGTGAGGCCGATCTGCTTGCCGGTCGGCTTCAACTCCACTCTGCCTCGGAAAAAGGTGAGCCGTTTCGGTACCGTTCGAAGACCATACGCACACCTTCGTGACCATATGTTTTCGACGTTCCGCCGACAGGTAATAGTGACCGGTTGGGGCACGACGGAGACCGGCATGCGCAGTCAGGCCCTGCTGCAGGTGAAGCTAACGGTCGTCGGCACCGAGGAGTGCGCGCAAGCCTACAAAGGCAGAACGCAAATTTGGCACAAGCAGCTGTGCGCGGGCGGTACCAAGACCGCGGATGCGTGCCCCGGGGATAGCGGTGGACCGCTTCAGATACCGACCATGTTGAACAACGACGTGAAATCCGTTCAGTTCGGGATCGTCAGCTTCGGCCTCCGGGGTTGCGCCGTAGAAGGAGTCCCCGGCGTCTACACCAACGTTGCCTATTACATGGACTGGATCTTGAACGTTATTCGATCTTAAACCGTTCGAATAACCTTCGACCGATCGATTACCCGATTCCGCAAAATCGTCGATGCGCCGTCATAGATATAGATGTAACTGTACCCTATGGTCGCGCCCCGGTCATTCTATATTTTGACCTTTTCAAATTTTATCCTAACATTAATAATAAATTGCCATCGATTGAATATTCGTTTTATTGTATGAACGCGCACACTGTTGTTCGCAGCCGAGATGTATCGGTGCGTTCGGAGATGGGTGTATCGATGTCGTGCGAAATCACCGAGGAACGCGTTACGCGTGTACGATGATCGCGTATCAGCATCGATTGGAATTTACGTTGCTCTCGGTATCGGTTTGCGACGCGTTCTCGTCGCGTTCCTCGCTGAACGATCGTTGATCGTCGCGTAACCGGTCGTTCTCGTTTCGATCGTCGATCAGCTCCGCCGTCTCGTTTATAGACACTTTTAATTGGCCGCGATCTCCTCTCTTCTTCGAGAGCGAACACGGAGACTTTGTCGCCGATTTGTCGGAAGCGTGCGACGCGAACGCGTCCGACGACTTTGACGATTGGCTAGTCGACAATAACGTTCCGGAGGAACTGGTGATCGACCCAGAGTCCGGTCTTCCGCAAATATTATCGTACGCGATGTACGAATTTACGCCAACTACGCGCGATTGTTGCCTCTGTTGCTTCCTTTTCTCTTTTCGTTGCAGTAACTTCGAACCGCCCTTTTGCGGTGTTTTCATCGGTGCTTGATAAGTCTGTAACGAAACGCTCGCTAACGTTTTTCTATAACGCGGCGATCGATCATTATTCGGCTATCCCCCTATATTTACCTGAGAGTGGCGTTCGAAAAGCGTCGGTATCAGAGTCACGCGATCCAGCATCATTTCCATCTGCAGACGATGACGTTCCGCTTGTTCGCGTGCTTCGTCGCGACGTAACGAAGTCCGAATGTTAAGGTCCCTCCGATGGTCGTGCCTTGTGTTCAAAATATCTACGTATGTACTTGTAATCTTCGGGGGAGCATCTTACGTTAAACGGATGCGCGTGCGATGATCTTACTTGACGAGAGTCGTACCTTGCCGCGGCCCTCAAAGCTCTCCACGCGGGATCCCGCCCGATCAACGATTCTCTCATTCTCATTTCCTGTTCTCGACGTTTCTCCTCCATTTTCTCTTTGATTTCACGCTCCAATTTTTCTCTAAAACATAAGCGCGCTGTGTACCGAATTATTATAGATACGTAGACGCGTAGCCACGCGGACGTGCACGTGGACGATTATTAACACGGGCAGGGTGGTTCCGATAACTACCGTGACACTTGACACCTCAAGATCGCTGCCAAATTATTTCCTCGTTGCGGCAAAAGCGACATCGCGGATCTACATCGTTCTAACGGCGATGACGTAACATTGGACGATTCGACGGAATTCCTACTTCCAAAATTCTCGTTGCAACTTTCCTTTGCGCCTTTGAAATGCGTGCACGCGGACCTGACGCGTTCTCGTCTCGCCATCGACGGCGGCAAGCAAGAAGACTTCATTAATTCTGCCGCTCTCACTTTTTTCTGCAGATCCCTGAACATCCCAGACGCTTCTAATTAACTGTGCTCGAATAGGATCGTGTCGAAACGACCATTAATTTATTTATTCTATCGACCTGTAATATTCGTCCTCGAGCATACGATCGTATATATCGGTACTGAACAGATTTTTCGGCACGGGTTTAGCTTTGAATTTTCTACACGCGTTCACGTTTTTGCTACGAATTTCTGGGCTAGATCGTACCAAAAATCTCCGAGCTCGACGGTCGCATTCCAACCGAAACGGTCGCATCTGGGACATTAAATTTAAAGCACTCTCTTCGCGAATTATACGACTTCTGAAAGTAAATGCGTTAAACGTTTCTCCTTGATATTTTCTATCGACGAAACAACATAATCTCTGCAGGTGGAGCCAACAGAAAAATTCTTATTTAACACTAGAACTACCAAACCAGAGTCCTGAAACCATGGTTTCTGATCTTTTTCCTTTTACGGTTACCGAATTTATACAAATGTTTCTATGACAAATCTTTTGATAACCTTCTTTATCTAAGGATATATCCACTGTCTTGTTATTCTTCAAACATACATAAGTGGCATTTCGAGTTCGATAATTCTAACGTTAAAATAACTGGTTACGCGTCAATGTAATGTACAACGTAGCATTTCTTATCGGCTCAGCCTGTATATGTATAAAATGCAAACAGGATCAAACCGTTCTTCCTTTTCCGCTAATAACTTGTCGTAAAGCGGAATTTTAGATGTAAGCGGAATTGGTCTTATGCGACGTTTTCTACAAGGACTTTTATTAACATTCCCTAAATCTTTGGGTCGCATGTCACTTGTTTCAACTTGTTCCATGTACTTTTCTGCTTCTTCTCTGAAACAATCGACGATCAATATATATATATATATTGGATAATTTAATCTTCAATATAAAATGTTATGTTACCTTAAAGTAAAGCTAAACGGTTTAGGTATGGTAGGATGCCATTCTTTAGAGTTACTAGCTGGCAAGCTTCTTGTTTCTATGCTATCCATGTCGCTTTCTAATTCATCTTTACTGTACGATTCGCTCCACAATTTCCAACTATTGTCGGCCAAATGTATTTTCTCATTACACATTGTTTTAGATTCTTTATCCTTTTGTTTGTGTCTGCTGCGTGATACAGAAGCTACAGTCACGAGTAAATAAAATAAAATGGTTTCTAGCTAATTGTGCCTACCTATTTATTGGAAAATCTTGATTTTCCATAGGGCAAAGGAATGTATCGGATAGGTGAAGCGTAGGACTGGTTATCCTGAACTCTTCCAAATAACACTTTTTACCGTCTAGTTTTAAATCGTTTATACCATTTTTATTCTGGGCCTTCGACTTCTGATTGTATTTCGACATCGATGAGCTTCCTACGTTTGCCTCTTCGTCATCGGCTAGCGAATTTTCCAAATTTTTCAATAACAACTTCTGTTTTCTCTTTAAATAGTCTACTTTTTGCTTAAACTGTTCGTTCGACAAATGATGAACTTGACCATAATCTGGGATACTCTCCAAAAATTCTATAAAGTTGTCCACAATTTCTCTGGGACTCGATACCTCCGATTCGCTGATAATACTATTGCCGGATGCAAAGTTTATTTTATTCACCTTATCGGGGTAGTCGTCTTTGCAATTCCTTGCAACTTTGGGACGTTCGTAAGAAGGTGTTGGTTGTCTACTATAAGGATCCACTGGAACTTTCACGCAAGAATTGTAAAACGATGTGCCTCTATGTTCTGCCATTGTCTATTAAAAAATAAAGAATAAAATACAAATTTATTTTAGCAAACTATTATTGTGTTTTATATATGTACTTATATATAATATAGAAATTTAATATAGAATTAATAGAAGACATTTTTCATTTTCTTCCTGAATAAATAATTCATATAATTAAAATATGTTAAAGAGATCTTAAGCATTTAAGTTTATTTAATCATACCTGTCAGTTTGTATTTGTTACATACCTACCGTTTGCGTGTTGCACCGTTGGCGGAAATATTTGAAAATGATTTATATGAATAATAATGTACAAAGCAACATATATATTTCTAATTTATTATCGTTATGCAACATTTTCTCCAACTATATTGGAAGCTTAGTAAAGCGAATTTTACTTAAAGTCGTGTTATCGCTATGCGAAAGTAGATGCATTTGGAATTGACGAGATCAATGTATGTAATCTTCCTGCTATTTGCATACACACATATATTCGTCACCATGGTAAATTCGAAGTCCAAAGTCCGAAGTAACGTTGTTAATACGAAAGAAATATGCAATTATTAATTCGTGCTAATAAAATATTAGTAAAGTAAATAATACTAATTTTATTTGCTTATAAACTGTTTAAGTACATTTATGTGTATGTACATATTCATTTAAAGTGCTCAAATAATGTTCGTGCATATAAAAACTCTTAAATATATGTATGTACATCCATATTATGTATATGTATATGTATCTACATTCTCGGTCATAATACCGAATCTAAACTTCGGATTAAACAACTTTTAGATACTCGTGTATGTTAGAATAATGGAACAGCTGTTAATAGAATCCGGTAGAATCTTCTGCGTATTTAACACATACAAAATATATACTAGGCTTTGGTCAAAAAATATAATTACGCTTACGCATTACACTTCATATCAAGTTCATCGTCAATCCCTTATTGCCTGTACATTCATATTATACATATGCAGGTTTAAACCATACGTTTGCGTTCCAGTTCATCGAATGAGAAAGGAAACAAAAAAACAGCAGTTTCATTCTACATATGTACATGTAAATTAACCAGATCAAAAATCACCCCATACGAACAGAGAAAGTCTTATCTTGCATGTGCACCACGGTGTATTGTTTTTATACCGTGGTATATACAATATGTATGGGCAACTGCATTAAGTAATGTAACGTACATATGTACATATGTATATATGCAGGGGCAGATTTATGTTTGTACATATGTGTCGCATAAAATACAAAATATTAAACATAAAAATGGCGGCTTTGATAAACAAGTTTTCGTATTGTAGAAGTTTACTATCAATTCCGAAAAGATCTGTCATCCCTAATGCATCGGTAATTGCATCGAAATATTCGTGTGCAAATCTACAAGATGAAGAATATTACGATATTATTATAACTGGTGGCGGTATGGTTGGAACAACACTTGCCTGTGCATTAGGTTAGCTTTCTTTCGCCTGTTAAAATTACATACAGTATCTTGTTATTATTTAAAAGTTTATGTAAGCGTAATTGTCACAGATAATACTTTTTCTTTCTTGTAGCCAACAATAGAAAACTCGAATGTAAACACATCCTTCTGCTAGAAAGTAGCAACAAATCTGAATATAAATCGCAGGAACATTATTCCAATCGTGTGGTTGCTCTAAACCAACAAACACGTACCTTACTATCGAGTATAGGATCATGGCAGCACATAGAAGCAGTACGATATTGCCCGGTGCGAAAAATGCAGGTATCGTATACTATAAGTTATACTATAGCATAAAAGATTTTAATATTTTTAAGGCAATAATAAAGATCGCATTAAATCTGACATTTTTAGTAGGTATGGGATGCCTGTTCGGATGCTATGATCGAATTCAATGAAGATCATCTATCGGAAGAAGTTGCATATATCGTGGAGAATGATTTGTTGCTACACGCGGTAAATAAGCAACTAGCTGATAAGGAGAATGTGAACGTAGTTTATGAATCTAAAGTCGAAAATATTAAATTACCTCAAATTCAAGGGGAACCTGCAAGAATACAACTGCAGAATGGAAAAAAATACAAAACTCAGTTATTGGTAAGTTAATGAAAAATTTTTAACGTATTAAATGCTACATATTTTACTCAGTTACTGTACTCTCTAACAATACTTTCTATTTTATTAGTTAAATTGTCCAAACGTGCACCAATATTGTACGAGCATCTTCTCAATTCGGTAGCTAATTCGTTGAACTGTTGTTGATTGTTATCGTTGGTCGAAGTTGTGCTGTAGAGTCTACTTAATTTTGAGTTACTGGCTTCTGTATTGCTTCTTTCTCTGTTATGTACAGACGTACTTCTAGTATTTGTATTACGATTTTTTCTGCCACTTACTAAGCGATAAGTAGCCTTTACTAAGTCCCGTGGTAAACGGTTTTCACGGGGATCGTTCGGACGTATATGAAGAGCGCAATGGTGTGGCGGATGTAAAAGAAGCGCTCCTCGTCTACACGTCTTCATAATCCTGCTCGGTGCATGATCCAAAATCTTCGAAAATAACATACTTTCCAAATGCGCTACTAATTCCGCTCTACGTACTAATCTATCTAATCCGGCACATCTTCGTAATTCCTGTATATCTGATACAGCAAGGCCCATCATTAAATTCGTTAAAATTACTGTCACTAAGATGACAAAACTCAAAAGCATTAAGTGTGCCGTACCAGAATACAATATTGGTGCACTTTCATCAAAGTATACGTCTTCGAATTCTAATTCTCCAGACATCATTATAATGGTTTTCAGTAAACCAACCAAGGGATTAGCAAACGATTTATAATTTTTATGTAATACGCTAAAACCTAATGAAAAACCAATTATAAGGCACATATAAGCACCAAGGAATTTAAAGAAATTAATCGAGACTTGGGTAAACATTTGTATATAAAGGCCAAACATTGGAAATCTCCCAACCACCATCATTAACTCTAGCCAAATTAGAAGTATACCTAAAGCTGCTACATGATGCTGCCAATGAAAAATTGGCTCGATCAATATTATGCTCGATATGAAAATAACGCTCCATTGGAGCCAGTTTTCCCATCCTTTGGCATAACACCATAAACCGTGAGCCATTTGAAAGAATTCTTTACCGGCAAGAGTTATAGTAAATATCAATACCGGCCAAAAAAGTACTGTCCTGAGGTTTTTTATGTTCCAGAAGTATGTAACTGCAATGTATGCAGTGAAAAATGCAACGAAAATGGAATGAAATATCAAACTGATCAAGAAAAATTTACGAATTCTTAACCATTTTAAATAGAGGAAACTTTCGCATAACGGATGTTTTAATACATGTCTTTGTCCAACTTCTACAAGGCACAACATTAAATCCATTTCCCCTCTGCCACCTGGTACCAGAGGTCTAAAGTCTAATCTTAATTCACAATCGACATCGCCTAATTCATGATCGTGTAAAGAAATCGCTTGATCCAAGCGTGAGATAAATCGTGGCAATACATCGGGCGTTCTGCGTACAATAAAACTCAATGCAGAAATACCACCTTTCGTTCTGGCGGTAACGTCTGCTCCTTTCGACAATAACATCATCACAGTTGACGAACTTTCGTTCAGAGCAGCGATATGTAAGGGTGTGTAGCCAAATTTGTCCGACGTGTTGATCAAAGCACCAGCCTTTCGAAACAAAAATTCACCTGGTTAAAAATGTATTATACGTTTTTCACGGAATTTTTGAAATCGGTAAATTCACCTGCATCAAAATTCTGACCAATTCCATCCCTCTGGTAGCTTTTGCAACAGCAGCGTGCAGTGGAGTACGTCCGTCGTTATCTTCTGTATTGACATTCGCACCAGCATTTAAAAGCACGTCCAAAGTTTCTGCCGATTGGGACAAAGCTGCCAAGTGCAGCGGTGTTTGACCTCGTGAATTTTTTACCTCGCAGGTTGCACCAACTTCTAGCAATAATTTTGTGCATTCTGCACTGCCTTCTTCTGCCGCTAAATGCAAAGGAGTCGATCTCGTAGAACTAAACTGCACCCTAACGTCTGCACCATATTTTAACAATAATGCTGTACATGTAACAGAACCCAGTCCTGCTGCTACATGTAACGGTGTTTCCGTATAAACCTGTAGAAACAATTAGACATGTAAATTGAGAAATATTGAAATCAAAGCGCATTAAATGTATTTTAACGCTTGATTACAAATACCTGTGGAGTATTAGGGATAGCACCTGCTTGTAATAAAGCTTCGACACAGTCATCCGCGTTACTCGAAACAGCATAGTAAAGAGGACTTTTTCCTGAGAGTCCTGCATTTACTTCTGCTCCTGCTTTTATCAAACAATTGACACTAGAAATATCTCCGGTTGCAGCAGCACAATGTAAGGGTGCACACTTGTTATTAAAATCCCATTCACCTGGATTAGCACCATATTTTAATAGTTCTTCTAAAATTTTCACAGAAGCTGCACAAGCACTTAAGTGCAATGGTGTCCTGTAAAATGAATGCGCTATCATTTTTAAATTTGTTTCTATTGTCATTTAATACTGTACCTGCCGTCACAGTCTCTAGTTGAAGGATTCACGTTTTTGTTCAATAAAACTTTTACCAATTCTACATGACCCAAAAAGCAAGAGACTAAGAGATATGTGTTTGGCCAGTTCTTTAAATGCTGCGAAATATTTGCTGCTTCGTTTTCAATCACGTTTCTGTATTGAACATAATACACGATCAAATTATATTCAATGGAATTGTTACGACCGATACATCGATACTATAATAATCATTGTACCCATTTTCAGACGAAGATATGGAAATTTTCCTGGCATTGGATGTCACTACCTTGCTGTTGACATTCAAAAATTCATTTATAGTTTTATGCAACGTATCGCCGTAAAGAGTCGGGACAATAGATAGAGCATATTCTCCGTCTGGAAGATTAGAGAGAGCAGAAACGATTTCTTCTTTAGTCCATGGTTGTTCTTTTGTCATTTGTCTTTCTCTTATGTGATAGGTAATCGAATCAGAACTGTTTCCTGAACTTATACTGCTATTTCCTATATCATCCATCCAAATGCGTTCGCAGTCTTCCTGAAATAATTTACGTTCAACAAACTTATTTTGAAAGAATGTTCAAACACTATTCATACTTACGATATCGTTGACGATAATAGATGGTGTTGCCATTACATCGGTTGTTTCTTCATAAGAAGTACGTGTACTTAAAAATCTGCTTAGAAGAGGTTTTCTCTTTTGGATCGACATACCAGATCGTATAAATCTGTTTATGTTATGTTTGAAAAGATCGTAATCTTTTAGTTCTTCATTGGTGTAATATGAGAAGTAAAAATGTTTTAATACCTGCACAAGGTATAGCGACTGCTTCGAGTATGAAGTACTTAAAAACTATTTTAGCTGCCTGTATGGCTCAGAACAAGAGCACACATGTTCCTTGGTGTTTATAAAACAGAGCTGGCATATATTTAGCTCCTGCTACTTCTTGCTGCGTGCATATATGAACCAAGAGGAAGTTCCTTGATACAAGGTTTTTTTCCCCTTTAAAATTTTTTCTAGCATTTACATCAAAAGTGCATGGATAAAATTTATATGGATTTTAAATTATATTTCACTTTTAAAGTATATGTATATGTATTCTTATAATTAACACCGTAGCGTCGGGGCCGTTATGCTGGACCGATTTGCCTTGTAATCGGACATCCGTAATCGGCAGCAGTATTTGGTATGACGCAAAAATGCGTCATCCGTAATCAGCGGTAGTTACCGATTTGATGCAATAATGAGTTATCCGACGCAAAGGTGTTAATAATAGCAGTCTTTATAATGTAGGAACTGATGTTATTTTGTTCTGAGAAGGTCAAGCGTAAAAACAAATTAAACGTGCATTCAGTACTTTTGCTCAAGTGTACCAAAGAACTGAAGTTATTTCCAGACATATTGCTAGTCTCTCTTAGCAGTTCCCCTTCCTATACGCGCAGCATAGTCGATAATTTCATAAGACATTCTAATACTTTGTTCAATCAATTCTTTTATAATAATGTAATAAATCTTTTAATAAACATTACGTGTGCACTTTGCGTTCATTGCAGGTTGGCGCAGATGGTGGAAATTCACTGGTACGACAATGTATGGGTACACAATATATGAAGTGGAATTATAATCAGCTAGGTGTAGTTGCTACACTTAAATTATCAGAGGTCAGAGTTGTACTACCAAGATATTTCTGTATTCTTAAAGTCTGCAATAATTACATTTGTGTTTCAGCCAACAGAAAATATCGTTGCATGGCAGAGATTCCTTCCAACAGGCCCAATTGCATTATTACCTGTATTCTTTTACAAATTTATTATTACTAGTTTGAATAAGAATTGAATATTACACTAATTTCTACTTTTATGATAGTTAATAGATTCACTTAGTTCACTCGTATGGTCGCTACCGATGGATGAAGCAAAAAAACTTTTAAGTGTTTCTGAAGAGGAATTTGTTGATAGCATAAACGATGCTTTATGGAAATTGTATCCAAAGGATGGAATAGTTGAAAGTGGCATGCAAGCTCTGCAACAATTACTTGGAGGTTTGTCTTTAGAGACGGGTGTAGTAAGACAATTACAACCATCCATATCAGCTATCGTAGAAGGATCACGTGCAGCTTTTCCTTTACAATTTGGTCACTCTGTATCATATGCTCAGATTGGAACTGCCTTGATCGGGTTTGTGAATAAACAACATCATAAATTAATAACGTTTGTCAATGAATAAATGTAGTTCTACGTAATTATAATTGAAATCTTAGGGATGCAGCGCATAGAATCCATCCATTAGCTGGTCAAGGTGTTAACTTGGGTTTCGGTGATATAATAGTGCTGGTCCAACTTCTCGCAGAAGCTAATGTAAACGGAGCTAATTTAGGCGATATAATGTATTTAAGGAAATATGAAACATTGAGGCAACGATATAATGTACCAACTATGCTCGCTATCGATGCGTTACATCGACTTTACAAAGGCACTGCAGCTCCCATTGTGCTTGCAAGAAGTTTAGGATTACAATTGACGAATGCCATTCCATTACTAAAGGTGAAACAGTAATAAAAATAAATTAAAATTTAATTAATTTTCTTTGTTCTATGTTATTTGAAGAGATGTAATTTATTTCAGAAAGCCCTGATACAACATGCATCTGGTGAAGCAGTAAGTCAATAATGTTTGAAAAGTTGATTATAAACGTTAACATAATTTACTTATTTGATCCGATAGTGTAAATATACATTTATAATATATTAGTGATATACATTTGAAATATGCACATACAGCATTAAATAAAAATAAAAAAAAAACGAATATACATTCTTTAAAGTTTTATTGCACTTTCAATTTCAAATAATTATATTTTCGCAAATATTTTACTTTTAAAGTTTTATGTTAAGTAAAATATTTCTTTCCTGGCTTATCAATAAAAAAACAATGGATTTTGAAACTATCAATAATTTACGTCGCATTTGATATGTTGTACGTAATGACATAATCAAAAACCTCAGACTGCATAAAAAAATTGAATAAGTTTTATGGAAATTTGTTGTCGTACCACGTGTGCACAGAACAACGGTGCATGAATGGATACAGGTTATCATGTCACTTTTGCGTAAGAAACAAATTTATAACAAATATATAGTGAAGTGATTTGTACATTTTTAAAGAAAAGAAGCTAAAAAAGTAAATTACGTTATAAAGAAGAATTTTTAATATCAAATTTCGTTCTACTTTTGTTATGTAAATAGTTTAGGTTATTACACGACCTTTGAAGTTTATGAATAATTTTTGAATCAGATAACTCAAATTTGTTACATAACTTTATGTTCTTAATTAATTTTATGTTAAGAAGAACGGTTTATCAAGAAAAAGAGAGTTTCTGCTTTGTTTTTGAGGTAAGCTTAGAAAGCGACAAGAGATGTATTTAAATGACATGTATGTCAAAATTATAGTGTTATTATTAATAATATTTCATTTCAGACTGAGCAAAAAAATTATCGCAAAATCTTGTTATTTTATTTACAATTGACTGACAATGTTTATCTCTAGAAGGTTGTTAAAAACAGCAACATTTGGAATCATTGGATTCGGTACACTGGCCTCGCTGAGAGCTAATGAATACGATATAGGATCTATAGGTATCGTAAGACTTGGGCGAGCTGCAGCCAAAGTGTTCATAATAGGTAGACATTATAGGAATGAATTATACGCAAGCGAATTGCCCAACAATAGTCCAGAATATTTGGATTTAAAATCAAGAGTACACAAATTCGGAGCAGAGAAACTTTTAGAGCTCTGCTGTGAAAACAAAGGTGTTTATATAAAAGTAGGTCAACATATCGGAGCATTAGATTACTTACTACCAGCAGAGTATGTTAGAACTATGCGAGTACTGCATAGTTCTGCGCCACAGTCGTCTTTCAAAGATATATTAACTGTGATCAAAGAAGACTTCAAGAAAGATCCTTACGAAATATTTGAAAGTATCGATCCTGAACCATTGGGATCAGCTAGTTTAGCGCAAGTTCACAAAGCTGTATTGAAAGATGGCAGCATTGTTGCCGTTAAAATTCAACATCGGTCTGTTAAAACAAATTCTTACGTGGATATAAAAACCATGTCCCTTTTAGTGAGGATTACGTCGTTAGTTTTTCCTGACTTCAAATTCGATTGGCTCGTGGATGAAACGAAAAAGAACATTCCTAGAGAATTAGACTTCTTGCAAGAAGGGAGGAATGCTGAGAAAGTTCAAAGCATATTTTCGCATTACAATTGGTTGAAAATACCAAAAATCTATTGGGATATTTCGTCGCATCGTGTTTTAACGATGGAGTTCGTAGACGGTGGTCAAGTCAATGATTTAAAATATATTCAAAATAATAAGTTGAATGCGTACGAAGTTAGTAGCAAATTAGGACGACTGTATAGTCATATGATATTTATCGTGGGATTTGTACATTCTGATCCCCATCCTGGCAACATTTTGGTACGAAAAAAAGATAACGAAGCAGAAATAGTTCTCTTGGATCATGGATTGTATGCGAATCTTTCCAATGAATTTCGATGGGAATATTCTAAACTATGGTTAGCAATTTTTGACAGAGACAAAAGTGCGATGCAAATACATTGCGCCAGGTTGGGTGTTTCAGATTTATACGGACTACTGGCTTGTATGGTATCGGGTAGATCTTGGAATGCAATTATGGCGGGTATTCAGAAAACTAAATACAATGTTAACGAGAAGTTGGAATTTCAAAAAGGAATACAACAATTCTTACCAGAAATTAGTAGCGTACTTCAAAAAGTGAATAGACAAATATTGTTAATTTTCAAAACAAACGATCTTTTACGTTCTATCGAATATTCCTTGAATACAGGGTCTAGAATGTTTGGAATGATGGAAATGTCGAAATGTTGTATATACTCTGTTTATGGAGAACAACTGAAATTGTGCACGAATCCATGGATAAGATGGAAACTTTTCGTATCAAAACAATGGTCGTTATTTAAATTATCATTATATTATATATATCTAGGAGCATTAAATTTTAATATAAAAACCTCCACAGAATCATTTATGAATAACAGCTATTACTCTTTTTAAAAAAGATATTACTTTAGAATAATCTAATATGTAATGTTTTGCAAGATGTAAGATAATATATAAATCTTTTTGTAAAAAAAATCTGCCTAACAATGACCATGTTACTTGGAGGTGAACTGTTTACAAATACAGTAACACTTTCTTCTTTAATTGTGTAAATTCATTGTACAACAACACAAAATAAGCGGCTCATATACATATGTATAATTAAAAAATGTACAGAATTAATTTTATTATACATAATAATATACATATAAACTAAATAACTAAATGTATACTTGGTCGTTTGTTACGTTTAATAGCAAAAAATAAATTATTTCTGTTGCGTTAATATTTTTTATAAACTATCAATGTATCTATTTTGCGTATTAATACAACGTCGACGACAAAAGTCTTAATTTAAGAAAGTATAAATCCAATAAATTGCATTATTTTTTACAGCCACGCTATGATATACTTTCTTTGATGTTCAATGTAAGCAATAAACATAAAAAATAAAGATTATATACCTAAAATATCGAAGAAAATATCTTTTCGATGAAATTTGTTTGTAATGGATATTAATATCTTTGCGAGATCGATACGTAGCGTAGCTCTTTGTTATTAATGAGTCATGCAATTCGTCAGTCGTTTATTACATCATTATGACGTAAAAAGCAAATTCGTCATCAGCGCACAATTTAACGTAATCTGTGGCATTAATGGGAGAAGGATAAATAAAAAAAAGTTTTTATAAAAAATACAACATGTTTTATTCTTACATATATTTCGTATGCATGTTTTTATATATTATAACTTATTTTTCATAGGCTATATATTTGTATTCGATCATTATATTTTGCAAAGGTTTAACATCTTCGGTGAGGATTATTCTTTTCCTTACAAAAAGAAGACAATGTACAGAAAGGAAAGCGTCCTACATGGTATATTTGCGAATTTTATTACGGTTACCTTTTCCAACGTTGCCACGTCTTGTCTGCTTCGATACATCAAATTTAATGTACATTTGTATTCTGCTGTACCTTCGTTTGCCCCTTATCTTAGTACTTATGGAGAAAATACGTACGATTCGGTATGAGATGCTCAATTTTGTTTGCAACAATAATTAATATACAAGGACTATCCTGAGTTTTGGCCTTAGTCCAAAATTTATTCGACTGTTTCATATCACATGGACATATGCATATGTAAATATTATATACGTACAATATAATCTAAGTAAAAACATGATTGTTTAGAAATTGCTTTCATAGATATTACCGTATAATTGTAATTATTACAGTTATATTTATTCAACGTCGTGGAAACGTTCGTTGGTGTAAATGATACGATATAATGTAGGTATTATTGTTACTCTTTAACTATAAGGTATATTAAGCAATAAACATAAAAAATAAAGATTATATACTTAAAATATGGAAGAAAATATCTTTTCAATGAAATCTGTTTGTAACGGATATTAATATCTTCGTGAGATCGATACGTAGTGTAGCTCTTAAATTCGTCATCAGCGCACAATTTAATGTAACCTGTAACATCAATGGAAGAAGGATAAATAAAAAGAAAGTTTTTATAAAAAATACAACATGTTTTACTCTTACATATATATTTCGCGTATGCATGGTTTTCTATATTATAACTTATTTTTCATAGGCTATATTTGTATTCGATCATTATATTTGGCAAAGGTTTAACATCTTCGACGAGAATTATTCTTTTCCTTACAAAAGAAAACAATGTACAGAAAAGAAAGCGTCCTTCCTGGACATTAGTGAAGTTTATACACAGTTACCTTTTCCAACGTTGCCACGTCTTGCCTGCTTTGGGACATAAAATTCTGCCGAACCTTCGTTTGCGCGTTACCTTAGTACTTATGGAGAAAATACGCACGATTCGTTATGAGATGATCAATTTTGTTCGCAACAATAATTAATATACAAGGACTATCTTGAGTTTTGGCCTTAGTCCAAAATTTATTCGACTGTTTCATATCACATGGACATATGCATATGTAAATATTATATACGTACAATATAATCTAAGTAAAAACATGATTGTTTAGAAATTGCTTTCATAGATATTACCGTATAATTGTAATTATTACAGTTATATTTATTCAACGTCGTGGAAACGTTCGTTGGTGTAAATGATACGATATAATGTAGGTATTATTGTTACTCTTTAACTATAAGGTATATTAAGCAATAAACATAAAAAATAAAGATTATATACTTAAAATATGGAAGAAAATATCTTTTCAATGAAATCTGTTTGTAACGGATATTAATATCTTCGTGAGATCGATACGTAGTGTAGCTCTTAAATTCGTCATCAGCGCACAATTTAATGTAACCTGTAACATCAATGGAAGAAGGATAAATAAAAAGAAAGTTTTTATAAAAAATACAACATGTTTTACTCTTACATATATATTTCGCGTATGCATGGTTTTCTATATTATAACTTATTTTTCATAGGCTATATTTGTATTCGATCATTATATTTGGCAAAGGTTTAACATCTTCGACGAGAATTATTCTTTTCCTTACAAAAGAAAACAATGTACAGAAAAGAAAGCGTCCTTCCTGGACATTAGTGAAGTTTATACACAGTTACCTTTTCCAACGTTGCCACGTCTTGCCTGCTTTGGGACATAAAATTCTGCCGAACCTTCGTTTGCGCGTTACCTTAGTACTTATGGAGAAAATACGCACGATTCGTTATGAGATGATCAATTTTGTTCGCAACAATAATTAATATACAAGGACTATCTTGAGTTTTGGCCTTAGTCCAAAATTTATTCGACTGTTTCATATCACATGGATATATGCATATGTAAATATTGTTGTAAATCTTAGCGAAAACGTGATTGTTTAGAAATTGCCTTCATAGATATTACCGTATAATTGTAATTATTACAGTTGTATTTGTTCAACGTCGTGGAAACGTTCGTTGGTATGATGATACGATACAACGTATGTACATATTGTTAATTTTCAACTATAAGGTATATTAATTTCTGTTTCCGTAAAGCTTCACGAACGCTGAACATGCTGTAATAAAAATACATATCTATGTATTTTATACGTAGAATGCCGAAGGCTAAAAAGCTGCATCATTGATCGAAACAATGCGAAGAAATTTGGCAACGCTGCGGATTATCCGCAACGGAAAAGCATATGACATTGCTGAAGAAAGGTACAACGCCATTGGCGGTGCGGTTGACCGCGTTGCGCATTCCTACGCCGTAAATAGTTTCTGGAATTAAAGAATTTTGACAAATTTGGCAATATATAAACGAAATTTTGTATCGTAAATGTTGCATAAATATAAAAAACGCGAATGAATAAAGATAATTGTAAAAGGTAGTCGGAAATTAGCGTCGATAATAGATTTGGCGAGGAACTATTTTCTATTGATCGCGCGCAGGTATACCACTTAGTAGGACGCTTGGGGGTATATAAGGCACCCCCATCGGGCGGAGCCCTGGCATTTCCTGAGTCATCCTCGAATGGTGAAGATCGTATCTTGCTCGCAAGCTTAAAGTGATTCATTTTGTTCCTCGAGTTTACCACGGGATTTTTCTTCCGTCGTTCGACAAGAAACACGAGCCAGATACAGGTTGGTGTCCTTCTTACTTTTTCGGTAATTAGGTCAGAGTTTAAGAACGTCACAAGGCTGTTAGAGCTTTGTCCGTTCTCTGGTTTCTTTTGCGAAACCAAAGTGGAAAGTTCGAGAAATTCGTTACGCTGTGCCGACGTCAGAGGAGAGGAGGAACCGGAAACATCATGGTGGCTACAAAGAGACCCCGTGAGATCGACTTCGACAAACCGAGCCACACCGAACAATTGGCCAATTGGATCAGCAGAGTTCGTTGCAAGAAGCTGTTGTGTCGTCGAAATCGAAAACGTGATCTACGCGTCGAGGCGGTGCTCACTTGCGCTCTCTCCAAGGCCGAACACGAACTGCGCAGCAAGCAGTTGTCCAGAATCTCAAAATGGCAGCAGTTCAAGAAACAGTTCCTTTATAACGGCGAAGACCCGAACGATCCGAAACCTTACGAAGAGGTTAATCCTTGGCAAGGTCCTCTGTGCCCCGAATTGAGCAGCTTGGATTCTTTCATGTCTAAATTGAGCGAAATCAAAGTCCCGTTGCAGCGATGAAGAGAAGAGACGGAATTGGACGCCCTGGCCTGAAAAACCTAGGATAGCGTTCTCTCTGCTCTACATAACTCGAAGATGACGACATCGTATCGATGGAAAATAACGCAGCGGTTACGATTAAACACATCTCGAAACCAATGTTAGGCACCGCGTTGGTGTCCTGGGATTAGAAGTCGCATCACTACCCTGGTGTATATCTGGCTGTTTTTTACTTGCAGTCTCACCGTTTGAGATGGCAATGGGACGGGCGGAGGGAGGTTGCTGTTTGCAGTGATGCTGGGAGCATACCGCAAGGGGGAACAGGAATCCCACGTTCTAGTCTCTCTACGCCTTTCTCCAGTTTGGTTTGTAATCTGTATCGAAACCAATGTATTTCTCTTTGCAGTTTTACATTTTGAAACAATACGAATATTGGAACTATTCGAATTTATTATTACTCTCAAAGAACGTTTGATCTCGGATATTTTTATTTTTTTTTTCCAGAGTTACAACGCTTTTATTCGAACAAAACCTAAAATATGAATGTATAATTTCTATAGATATATATATATAAATTTAAACACATTTGTACAACACATACGTATTTAAACGGATAGATCTAGTAGTAAAAACGGGTACTGATTGTTATTTCAAAGACCATCAACAGAGACCGGGTTAGGTTTAATAAAAATTATGCAAAGCGTTAACTGACAAATTTGTACAAGGATTGTGATACAGCAGGAGAGGAATAAATGTTAACAAGAAAACTTTTTGACAACTTATTTTGTGAAACTCTTAATTCACCATTATTAATACCAGCAATCCTTTTCAGTATGGCATACACCTTACAAACTTGTATCGCACGCAAGAGATACCCGCACACATGTCGTCCAGGCTGTTGCTCGTTATCGACGACGTCAGTGGCCTGTCTATGTAACCATAAGAATGAGATCAGATGAGAGGAGTGGTGGTGAGAGAGGATTATTAGTACGGGTTGAGGGAGGGGGAAAACTGTTTGTTTCTAGAAATTTGCGCACCAAGTATCGCAGACGAGTTGCACGGCGAATCAAGTCATACAAACACCTAGCGTTCACACACTTCCATATCTCGACCAAGCATCAAGTATTCTCCCAAACGTCATCCGGCCGTGTGCTGCACAATTTTGGGGCTCACTGCGACAAAAACTGCAGCAAAACTAGAGCCTCCTTTGGTGAGCTATTCCCTTCTCTCCGTTACCACTTGTGCAAATGTATTTTCTCAGGTGCAGAAAGGTTTCCCCCTCGACGCATTGCATCGCTAAGTTATACAATGCACAAGTTATTCTGCTTATTGACAATAGAACGCGAACTCGTCGGCTAAATTGGCTAGCCCTGGAACACACCGCATATAGGTACCTCGGTTCAATTAGGCTGTAAGGGCTTCGAGGTATGGAGAGAGAGAGAGAGAGAGAGAGAGAGAAACGGTAATTCGTTGCATGTCTGTCGACTCGAGACGACCCAGAAACGCCAGATATGCCAGATCTTTATCGCAAGTAGCAACAATACATTTTCAATAAGAGCATGCGACTATTACGATGACGAAGGCTCGAAGTATATACGGTTTTTATGCGCGCGGTATTGGTACTGTAACATTGTTTTTTTTTTTGGCTGGCATCATGCCACTAGATAATTATTTTCACAGATTCGACCATGCTGAATCGTTCCGCGAGTAAAGAGACAAGAAGATGTGTGTGTATAAAGTATGTTTTAGATCAGAGTAAGTTTCGCTAACGAGAACTATGCGGAAGTCGCGCAAAAAGAAAAAGAGGTATCAGTTTGTTTTACAGTTATGTTAACTCACGAAGACACGAGCAACGTACTCGAAATGTTTTTTCCGTCGAACGTGTTTGGGAAGGACGGGGGAGGGGGGGTATTTTGAGATCATTTTCTTCATCGCAGAAAACAATTCGTCTGAACTGTGTTGGAGTTTCCCGCTAATTTTAACAACGAATAGGAAAGCAAACGGCATTGTGGCAGTTATCGACAAAGTAGTACCACCTAGACGATGTTTTTATCTTAATGGAATGAAAATGGTGTGCAGCATTCGTTTTACCAAGAAGAAGCTTTTATACGTATAATCGGACATCTTGGAAAGCAGGAGAGAGAATTCGTAGTCACCCATTTTTCATTGAGTATGAACTGTGTCGAAGGTTTGGTATACGAATGGTTCAAAACGCCTCCTATATATTGGGACCACGCTATCGTCTTGCATTATAATATATTCATAACAATTTTATGAATTGCATTCTAAGTATACATACATCTATTGGTTGGGTAGTTTCTGTTCAGATGTCTTTTGTACTGCAGGAATACGTGAAACATTCGTACCCTGGAAGCACAACTCTATAACTACCGGTAGAAGTGGTTTTTCTCTCACTGGAATATATCGCTGTCATGTTTTCAAAGGTACATTATGGTATGTTGAAGTAGAAGAAGGGCATGGGGGCGAAAAATATTGTATTTCAGCTAGAATGACTAAAGCACACTTGTGTGAGTCAATTTGCAATAATAAGCTGCTTACATTAGAATCTTAACTGGATGCCGATACGGTAATCGTGCCAAACATATGTACATACATACATACATATATATATGTGAGGAATTCGTGATATTAAAAGTAAACAGTATTCTCGATCATGTGATCCGTATGTAACAAGTTCGATAAACGAAGGTAACAATTTAATGTGCTGAACAATTCGTATTATATAAATATATTAGACTGTGTGAAGTGGGTCGGGGGTGTTTGAGGTGAGCTATGCAATTTTGTGAAAGCTGCAGGACCGAAGCTGGTACATACAAGCATCGCAGTGGATAATGTTATTGAAACGGGATTTCTCTCTTCGCATGGAACACGCCATTCGTTTTTCTGTGTAGTAGCAGCAGCAAGATATCATTCCATAATTTCAGTAATACTAAATAACGAGCAGAACTGTGTTATAATTAACAAGCATGGCACCTGCGTGAGACCCTCGCATTTCTTTTCTCATGACTGTGTTTAGAGGTATTCAAGACGGTTTGGAGATACTCGTCCAAGGAACAAGTGGGAGAAGAAAACGAGTGTGTGTTATTAAATTGCTTCTTTTTAAATTTTTGTCGTTCTAGCGCTATCTTCATAAGGTATTTTAGCTAAACCAGGTGATGCATTTTTAATATATTTTCTTAGTATGTACGGGTAGATTAGACTTATTTGTTAGAAATCACTGTATAATTATTTGTTCCATGATGAAACATGTTTGGGACGGGGAGAGGGTGGATATAAACGATTTTACCTTTTTTTCCACAGACACGTATTAACAGGTGGACATGCGTTTAAAGTTTTGTTATAAAATCAACCAAAGCATGACACACAGAGCACGATAGCGTTAAACTCTTGAATATGCATATGATAATGTATTATTTGATCATCGAGTTAGGATAGTTTATATGCTTGAACAAGAATCGTTGAGAGACACACAGATCGTTGGATCCCTTCTGGTCTTCCCCTCGGAAAGTAGAAGAAAATATCACGTTCGAACGATACATTTTCTAAAGAGCCATTGGTCCTAGTGGAGGGCGCTTCTCAAAAAACGTGTATGTACTCCTCGGATGAACATTACTTTTACCACGTTGTTAGGAAGAAGACTGTTGCATTCGATTAGCAGTACAAAAACTATTTTCCTGTGGATCACGAATTTCATCGTTCTTCGAATACGAACATGGCAAGTCGTTAACAAAATAATAGCTTGTACTTTTAAGTGCAAAGTGTAATGCATAGACGAAAAATGATCGAACGAACATCTCCAGGCTTTCATCAGGTAATAGCCCCTAACTATAATTTTAATTAGACATTTACGATACGGAAGATACTTTTTACGTAACTATTGCAGATACATTCCTCGGGCTAAAAAAAAAAAAATTCTTTTTCTTGAGAAATCATTTACGCGCGATAAACTGTTTCTTATAAACAGGTTCGTTCTGATTCAAAGGAAATTCCTATCGTTGCTTGTGAATACGAACATGAATGCAAAACAGATGATCGATGGAAATTGTTTATTCGTGATCAAACTGCATTGACTATTATGTGAACGAATTGCGTACAAAATTCAGTCGAATAGCGTTACAAGTGCACGAAAGACCACAAAATAACATCACGACGTATCCTTACTGTCTGCCACAATGCTTGGTATCTGAAAAATGTTGTTGTTACGTAAAAACAAAAACACTATCACGGAGAATGTAGCAGCTCAAGCTTTAACATAACAAAGCCTGTATGAAAGTGTATGATGCTTTGTATGATAGTCTACCTAACATTGAATAATCTAAAAGTATTGCATTAGGAAAGTTGGTACCACTGTTTATAGATTTTCACGAGTGAGTAATTGTGTTTCGTGTCTACTTTCTCTGGACAAGTAATAGCTCTTATATAGACCGTGTCTAGAATCATATATATTGTCATTAGCTATGTATGATTTATTTGTAATGCTCTTTAAGTGTTGCATTTTATGCATTGATGGCTTTTCCTCATAAAGGTAGTTAGAATGTGCTGTAAATGTTACTTCTACAGTGTTTTTTTCTTTCCTATTAGTGGTTGACCATTGTATAATTCAAAATTAATATACACACGATATATCATCAGGTGAAGGGTGGCGCGAGCTGTGCATTAACTTCTCGAAAGTTTCGAATATTACAGAATAGTATTCTACAGCATAAAGGTATCTTCTAAGTGTTACCGAATTGGTACGATGGATTGTTCTCAGCCAGCAATAAGAATGAGTAAAATGTTTGAGAGGAAACTGTGTATGAAATTTCCAAAGTTCGTTTAAAGGACAATGGGTCAAGGAGTTGATTGTTTTATCGCAAAATGTTTCGAATTCAGCAGAAATTCTGCCATGGGCCTTTATAGGTGTGAGTTACTTTGGTATTTTTCGTGTTTGCGTCGCAGAAAAGCTAACCAAGTGTTTTAGAACCTGTTTACCGAGTATCGAGTTCGTGCGGACGAAGAGGGCGGGCGGCTGATTTACTATGGCTGCATCGAGTAATACTTACCAAGTCCGAAACAGTGGTGTTCTTCCACCCTCCGGTGATCTGTGCATGGAGTTGTGGTCTTATTGCCTTGTCCGTCATTCTATCGATAGTTGGATATACCTTCTTGGAAAGGCTCTGGAAAATGGAATTGCGATGAAACTTATTTTCTGCTGTGGTCCGATGGCGAAGCATTCGCGGTGCATTGTCCTGTGCGAAAAGGAGAGAGAGGGGCACCGACTTCAAGGCTGAATTATTAGTTTGCGTTCTTTGATGGGATTGCGAGTTACCATTGCGTCTTGTTGAACCCGAAGGCGATTCGAAGGGCCATACCTTTTCTTTTCGAGTTTTCGACAGGCATTGACACGGATGTTTTGCGGTACGATACAATGCGAAGTCTTCGATGCAGAGTTCCAGCAGAAACGCCTATTTCCCTTATAGAAAAAGTAAGAAGCTTTTCTTTCAAAACACTCTTCCAATACATTAAGCGGAGAAACGAATTAATGCGATCGTATTTGTTTTCAGATTTAATTGCTTGCTAGCATTCAATTTTCGGTGCTGCTAGTTTTCATTGAACTATCTTGAAGACGAGAAATAGATTGAACAAGAAGTTATGGAAAATTATTATTACTACAAGGGGAATAGCACTTTAAATTTACAAATTTGCAAATATTATTCAATAGCAGTATACATAATATTACAATTTTGTAAGATCGTTACGAACGCTCGCAATGCGATTACAGAGCGTAGTTATGAAAGAGTACTTGTAGAACTTTCGTGCTTGGATGCAAAATTATCATTTTCTTTTCTTTTTTTTCTTTTGGAGAATATTATGTTTGAAAGATGTAAAAGTTGTGAATGTGCAAAGGAGGGAAATTTTCGATATGGAATTTCGCGACTCGCGGAGGAAGAAATATCTGTCGGCGTAAGATTTCGAGGAATGAAGATACAGTGACAGTCGTCGCGGGACTTCGTGGGATGAAGAAGATCTAACTGTCATCGCGGGACTTCGTGGGATGAAGAAGATCTAACTGTCATAGCGGGACTTCGTGGGATGAAGATACAATAATGGTCGTCGCGGGACTTCGTGGGATGAAGAAGATCCAACTATCGTCGCGGGACTCGGAGGGTTCTGGAGAAGAAGAAGACATCGAGGGACATCGAAGGACATCGAAGGACATCGTGGGACGTCGCGGGACATAGAGGACTGGAGAAGAAGAAACCACATCGCGGGGCATCACGGGACAACGCGGGGTAAAGAAGAAAAACCTGTCTTCGTGGGATTTCGAGGGATCAAGAAGAGGAAACTCGTCGCGGGACTTCGAGGGATGGACGAAGAATGAATTATTGCTGCGAGACTTTGAGGAATAAAGGAGGACAAACTATCACCGTGGGACTTCGAGGGATGGACGAAGACTGGACTATTGCTGCGAGACTTCGAGAAATGAAGAAGAACAAACTATCATCGTGGAACTTCGAGGGATGGGCGAAGAATGTACTATTACTGCGAGACTTCGAGAAATTAAGGATGGCAAACTATCGCCGTGGGACTTCGTGGGATAAAGAAGAATAAATTGTCGTCGTGGGACCTCGTGGGATGAAGGAGAATAAATTGCCATCGTGGGGCTTCAAGGAGCTTGATAGAGGAGACAAGTTACTATCGACGGACTTTGTGAAGAACAGCTGTTGCAAGAATTTATCAAGAGCAAAAGTACAATCGTCGTTGGATTTCGTGAAGAACGAAAGAATCATCGCGTAATTCCGTGAAGAATAGAAGAAAAACTGGTGTCGATGTATTTCGCGAAGAAGTTATAGATATTTATACCAAGATGAAGAAGAACTTGATTTTGTTCGATGTAGAAAAGAAGTTCAATTACTTCACAGAAAAAATATATCGACGTGGGAAATTTTTGAATGGTATATTTTGTCAGTAGCGAAGGGAAGAACTTTTTGCATAGAACAAAGTGGAGTGGATAAAAAGAAGTTGTTGATGGTGGACTTTGATGGAAGCAAAAGTAGAAGATCTGAGAGTTCCTATATTTAATGGGAGAAATATCTAACTATATAGATGCAAAACATTTTGGAATGGGGAAGAAAGAATTATCGACTTAATATTTGAGTGATTCGGGATAAAATTATTGACAGGATGAAAACCTAAAAGATGTAGAAGAAATTATCGATGCAGGACTTTGTGGGATGCTGAAACAGAAACGATCGGTGTGATTTTTAGTAAGATATAAAAAATAGGTTAGATATATATATATTTAAGATATGTATATATAGATACAGGTATATTTAAGAATTTTGTTCTCAATGCTTACGACATTGTTTTCAATGTTTTAGACATGACGATATTAGAAAACCGTTTCAGTATTACATTTATTTTTAATTTGTCTTGTACATTAGAATGATTTTTAAAACTTGTTCATAAAAATTGTACAAAATCTATAACTGGTAAAAATTGGAAAATGACAAGTTACGGATGACACGATGGATTAAAAAGCGACGGAATTTCATTTGATTGTAACGATTGGTTTTCAGAGACAGACATAAATAAGGACCATTAACGACTAAATTGAAATGCAGTTAGAGAATGTAGCAAATTCACTGTGCGAATAGCAATGCGAATCCAAGAGGCAACTTGAAAGGTACAATTCGGGATACTGAAGCGGAACCAGCAAAGCTACTTTGAAGAGGATCAGGAAGATAACTTCGTGGGACATGGAAGATGACTTCGTGGATGACATCGTGGGACGTGGAAGATGACCGAAAGGTCACCAAAGTGTTTTTAGGCCTGCAATCTCTGAATCTTATAAACAGAAAATTTTTATTGCGGTTAATGTTAATTTCTTTTTTATTTTATTCTTATTCTAGGTTATCTATATTTTACTGTATATATGTATATAATATATTATAATATACTTGTTTTTATATTCAATAAAACATATTTCTTGCGCATGATACATATAGTTTGTTACACGTAACATACGAACATGTATTTTTCATTATGTATTACTGATGACGAAAAATTAAAATAAAATTTTAGGATTTAAAGTATATCAATATCTCTCGTCCTAAATGTTGCTAAAAACAAGACCTACGTCCTACCGAACCCTGAACACGACTAATGTTTGTTTTATAATAATGATGAGATTGGATATATTTAAACAAAACCAGTAGATGAATGGATCTGGAACAAATCCAGGACTGATTCAAAGTTCAGATCAGCCTAAAATAATACTCTATATCATGGGCACAGTCGTAAGTCCTGTTCATTCTGATGTTGTGTAGATAAAAAGAGAAAACAGAATAATTGAGCGAGTTTGTTAACAATTCATAAATACATTGCATACAATTAAAGAATATGATGGACATATTATGAATTAAAGCTTTAGTCTTTTTATATCATCTGGACGAAAATCAGTTCTTAAAGATGCAACATGACGAACTTCAGCAGGTGTTAATCTCCAAGCTATCGCGTCTGCACCACAATAGTCGGCTAACTCCTCCACTTTTTCAACGCTTAATATAGTAGCCATTTGCGTCAGTCTTGCAAACTTATCGCGTATAGACCAGGATGTAGCAGCAGCTAAATAACTTGCCAACGATCTTATTTCTTTGTCAAGTATGAGGCCTCCTGCCTAAACAATTAAAATTAAAGGTAAAGTACGCGTTAAATGAAAAATGGAGACAGTTATACTTACTCTGTTAAATGTGGACTTTAGAACGACTTTTTCTAATCGAGCTGTGACTTCGGCAGTGAGAAGGCCGATTAAAGCATCATAATTTGACGCAGTTAAACTGTCTTTGAAAGTTCGTAGTAAACCTTCTAAATTCATGACTAGAGTTTGCACAAATGGTTCTTCAGTTTCATATCGTAATAAATCATCCTAGAAATTTGTACAGTTCAGTAAAATGAAAATATCAAAATGTAAACATCCTTGTGTCATTTACCTCGTTAACATGATGATCCACGGATAAAAATGCGTCTACCCAAGGAGATACTCTTGGTTTAACTGCACTTACACGAAGCTGTTCCAATCCATAGTCTGTGACAGCTCGTAAAATCGATATAACACCTTTTAGGCCAGACAAACAACTGTCAATTTTACCACGATCTTTATCTTGCATATTAGGAAACGTTGCATCTATTTCACCATGTAGACTCTTGCACAATGTTTCAACGTATTCGATACTAACGTCGGTATTATTTAAGTAAGCCTGTGTTCGTTGGTAAAATACACGATAAATATCATATCTTAAAAGAAAGATTTGAAAATCATAGTTAATGTTACCAAAAACATTAGACGAGCAAGTTCTGTGTCCGAAGTTTGTAAACGACCGTGTTGTATGCTTGTTTGGAGAGCGTTGTACGCTTGAGCCAAATCCAAGTATCCAGCCGGATAACCTTGACGCAGTCGACTTCTTAATCCGTTCGCAAACTCTCCTTCCAATATACCACAAGCCATATTAACTACCGCGCATACACCATCTATACTCCAGCTGGACATGGAACGTCTGTAGAATGCAATTTTAATAGAATTTCAATAAAGTAAATGTATCTGATTCGTCGCGCAGCATTTTTGTGCTACAGGTTTTTCTAATACCTTACACATTTTTGTACTATGAAGAAAACGTCGTCCACCATGCTCGATGTTTGTTGATCCTGGTCCAAAGTATCCATTCCCAATGCTTTATTTACACTTTCCTCAAGGAAATATCGTTCCAATGCAAGGTAAGCACCCAGAAGATCTTGCATTCCACGTGCTAGGTCAGAATTACTGATTATGTTTTCAAATTCATTTGTTAAATCTTTGTATTGTGCATCGTCCTGCGCACTAATTTCGATGTCGTTCTACATTGAAAGTACTAGTTTTAGTGAAACATTCAATGTGAAAGTTAAATCACATAAAATAAATATATTACCTTGACTCTTCTTCTTAAGAAACGTATATATAACTCCGCTCGTGAATGCATTATGGTAATTTCTCCTAATAACAGATCAAATTCTTTTGGATCAGCTCTTTCCGAACTTGTCTTTCGTAGATGATCATTTATCATTTGTACCTTTTTAGATATGCATCTGTGCTTCGTAAATTCTGTAATAATTTTTTTGACTTGCCTATCGAAGAAATTAATTGCCGGAATTACAAATAATTCCGTTAACTAATTGTCGAATTGTAAATATGTATTCGTTTCTATAATTATAAGAACACACTTACCTATCGCATTCTTTCTGTAATATGGAAATTGTCATTAATAATTTCCCAGGTCCATAATATGTTTCGATTATCGGTTGGTGTATCTCGACAATGCGGGCAATTCCCTCGAATAACAATGTTATAGTATCGGCAAAAATAACAGAGGCTCTTTTATCGTTGCTCTTAATATCCAAAGCTGCTTTTAAATTTTTTTGCGCCGCTTCATGTAACTAGAGTCCAAATGGTTACATTTTAATGAAATACACGATAACGTAGTTGAAAAAGCATACGTTGTCTTCGACATTACCTTGGAGCACAGGTAACTACAAAATTTTTTCAGTCCTTCGGAATGCATTCCTAATAGAGGAAATATTTTGAAAAATCTTTCAACGGAAGCAAGGTCTTCCGATTTTACCGCCTCGTCGAACTTATGCGTAATCACTGTTCTAAGTTGTAACGCCGCTTGCTGTAAAGTAATCAAAGAACTGCTTATGTTGGTATGGTCCATCGAAATATCTTCGGCTGTTCTTTCTAACAACTGTTGATCCATCGACAGATAACGATGTACATGCGCGGCTCCTTGTTCGTAATCTTCGTTATACAATGCCATAGCAACACCTTCGCTGCATAATTGTAAATCGAGGATATCGTTTACTCGTCTTTGACATTCGCAAACTCTGCTCTATCGGTGAAATATTTACAATGAAAATTGTATGTTCTTAATAGCACGAAGGTCGATGTTACGAATCAACGTACCCTTGCTAAATCCAGCTGTCTCACCTTGGCACTGACATTCTTAGCCAACTCGTTGGTTCGTGCGATCATGTTGTAAAACTTTTCACCCTCTTCTCGCACGACGATAACATTAGGTAATACCCTGCTTATATTTTGCAGTTTTGCTTCTACGTGACATTGCCTCGAAAGTATACTTTCCAAAGCTCTTCCTGTTTTAATCTACAAAGTGAAAGTTTATATTCAACCGGATAGCACTAACGAAACAGGCCACAGAGTAAACGACGGGATAAGCCTACGAACCTCATCTTCCGATAATCTTTCAAGTATGCGCGTCAAATTTTGTTGATTTACAGGTATATCCATGATATGCAGCATATATTAAATGGAATGATCAACCTGAAGCATTTGAACAAACTTTTTTAATATATATACAGAAAATCTTGCGAGGTCGTCGAATCTATGATAACAAGGCTACATAATGCAGGTCCATGCACAATTCAAATATATAATCAGAAATAATCGAATATCCAATATTTCAATTCAATCCTCCGTCTGTTCACCTCCTCAGTCCTCGTCGTTGCTGTTGCTCACCCTCGCCATAGATATAAAGTATACAGGGTGTCTCAAAATCGGGAAACGATGGGTTTCCGAGGTCGTTCTAAGCAACTTTTTCCTTAGCGCAAATGCGATCCGCGGCTTTGTTTAAGAGTTATTAACAAAAAACAGTGACCAATGAGAGGCGGCCGTGCCAACGAGCGGACGAAGCCCGGATCCGCTCATTGGCTCGGTCGCCTCGCGTCAGCTGATCTCGTCTCTCATCGATCACTGTCACTTTTGTGACACCCTGTAGAATTGAATAGAGTATATATGTATATATAGTAGCACGTGCATACGCGACATACGCAGTAAATACATACATATATGTGTCTACCAATTCACGAGTTTTTCTTCTCCCGATGCAAGAATCTTTTTATCTATCGTGTATCCATCTTCGCGCAGTTGCTTCAGAAAGAGAACGGGAGATGATCGAGAGAGACAGAACGAAACCAGCGGTCTCTATGCGCAGTGTCCACGCGAACGAGAAACCTAGGCCACCTCATGCTCTTTTCGCGCATCCGTACGCCATGCACTGTACGCCTGGAGCTCCATCTGAAACACGCGGCGCAATATTCGACTTGTACTTGTCGCTCGTCGCCTCGTACGTTTCTCAACCGCGCGATCCAGCGTATTTGCGAACATCGAATATTGCGCCATGCGTACGGATACGCGAAAAGAGTGCGACCGCGATCACGGTAAAGCGAGATGACTTATTTCGCACGAATGCATCGATGTCGTGCTAAATAACGTGTAAAATATATCTGTTGTTACGGAGACACATAATTAGAATATGCTAGAAGTTGTAGAATACCAGAGAGAGTTGGAGCAAACAACGAAGGATTCTTCTGGATGTACTTAAGTTGTAAATTGTAAATGTAGTTAAGTTGTAAATTCTAATTGATTCTAATGCCCTATTTACATCTTATGTACATATGTATAACAATGCTTTTTGTAGCGAAGACTGAACCGACCGAGGAGCAACGGCATTCGAATTTCAACGGGTTTTGTACGGCGGCGCCATCCGTGTTCGAACGTTGAACGAATTTTGGAAAACGGTTCGATCGTTTTGTCGCTGCACGGACTGGCGTTATTCGGGCGATTTAAACGGGTAGAAAATTCGCGCTGGAGCTAGAGTCTGGAATTTGTTCCAATATTCAATGGCAAGACACGAAACGGAAAATCATACGTAACCGATTGATTTTAACTAGAACGTGTGAAAAGTTTTTATAGGCACGTTGCTAAGAATCTCTTCCGAGATTTTCGATCGTAAAAGCGCACATATTACGTGCTAACCTGTGCATTCGAGAACATGGAAATAGTACATTTTAAGAGTCGATCGAGCAGTACCGTGTACCGTGTACGCATATTAACAAAAGACAGGACGATCGGCCGTTGAAAACGCTTCGGCAATTTAGCCGTTCGAAGAATCGCGATGCAACCGATAGAAAGTTGATATTCTATGGCCACAGTTTTTTGTGCGACCGCACGTCGGAGTTCCCTCGGAATTTGCGATGAATCGGTCTACACCGATCGGGGGAAATGAAATTTGATATTTTGTCGGCGAACCTCGAATCCTCGAATTCGATCGATTAGAAAATAAAATCGGAGGTTGTCGTTTTCCTGTACGAAGACCAGCGAGATGGGATCTCGTTCGAACTTGTCGAGATTGGCCCGCGCGACGAGACTCGCTTGGAGTCGACGGGATAGTTGGCGAACTACGGAACCGAATTACAGGCGTAGAATGGAATACGTGGACGCGATTCGACTTCGGCACGCCACCGCGATGAGACAGATCGGCTGCGAGGGCTCGAAGCGCGTCGTCGAAGCTGTTTTGATACTCTCTTACGAGTCCGAGCGACGCACCTTGATCCACGAGAACGACTCGGTCGCGACAGGAACGGCCGAGGACCGGGAAAATTTCTTGACCGGAATTCGGAACGCCGTTTCGATCGCGGCAAGAGCGTTCGTGATCGGATCCGTCGCCGTTGGACTAGCTGTCGCTTATTTGGTCACGCGTGTCACTTGTAGACACGCTTTCCCGACCATTCTTCTGAAAAGTAACGATCGAATCGAAAGCGTTTGACCGTTCGAAAGGAACTTATTCTTCGCGTCGATCGTCTAAATACGTTCGAAATTCTGTGCAGGTATAGAATTCCTCGGGCCAATTTTCATAAAGTTTGGCCAGTGGGCATCCACGCGAAAAGATTTGTTTCCCGAAGACATTTGCGGCACGCTCGCGCAGTTGCAGCACGCCGTTTCGCCGCATTCTTGGTTTTACACGAAGCAGTTGCTGAAGTCGATTTACGGGCCGAACTGGAACGAGATATTCGTCAGGTTCGAGAGCAAGGTGCCGATCGGATCCGGATGTTGCGCTCAGGTATTTATCGTACTATGACGCGACCGATTGTAAGGTTAACCAGCGACTCGTCGTTCGTTCGTCTAATCTTCGTTGTCTCTGATCGACAGGTGTACAAGGCGTGGGTAGATTCGAACGCTCGCGTCGAATCGGTGCGAAACCCTCGAGTACCAACGTTCGTCCAAAGTAAATTAGAAAGTTCTGCCGACGCAATAGCTTAGATAAGCCGACTCGCGTTGGCCGACCAACCAGCAACCGTCGAACGGAGGGACGGACGGACGGACGGAGACCGATCGAGGCGACACGACGGACGACCGCGCGCACCGGACACACGCTGCGCGCGGTCTACGTAAAAATCTACAACCGCAACCGTACGGTCTACGGTTTGCGTGGAAAGGAATGGTTCTCTGCTCACCGACAGTTTTCTTTTACAGTTGTCGAACATTTGAAACTGGGATCGTTGCTCGCGTTGATCGGTAAATACGATGACGTACATGATCTCGTACGAGAGAAATTGCAAGGAACGTCTACTCGAGATCGGCGAACGTAAATTTCAGACGGGGCGACGTACGAGGAGGTCGATAAAGAAGATGCGATTCGGCGGAGGAGATTACAGCCGGTCGCGGTTAAAGTTCTACATCCCGGAATTAAAGATCAATTGAGGTACGATCGCGAGGCGAGACGACGCGATCCGTGTCGCGACGATAAGACATAACCTGGTATCTAATCGATTCGTTTCACCGTGTGTTCGCGCCAGAAGGGATCTCTGCATCATGAGAGGAGTCTGCAAATACGCGACGTACATCGTGCCCGATTTCTATTGGCTCAGCCTGACCGATTGCATCGACGAGTTCTCGTACACGATGGAAAACCAAGTGATCCATTTAGCCTTAGCCCAAAGGGCAACTCGTTAGACCTACTTACGCGCCCGGCGAGGCGTAATCGCGATCGTTGTTTCTGTTTGCTGTCCGCGTCGGCGAAGGTCGACATGAATCGGGAAGCCAGGAACCTGATGAAATTTTCGGCAAACTTCTCCGACAAGAAGGACGTCGTTTTCCCACGAGCTTACGCGAATTTCACGCGACGAGACGTGCTCGTGGAGAGTTTCCACGAGGGCTCCTCCATCTCGGATTACCTCGAGAACGAAGACGTCGAGCTGCAAGAGAAGTTGGCGAGGATAGGAATGAAAACGATCCTGAAAATGGTTGGAATCCGTCGCGTAATACGTAAAGTAGAATGGAATAATGGAATAGGATAGAGAGCGCGAAACTGTAAGAAAACACGGTGATCGTAGGTGTTCAGGGACAATTTTATACATTGCGACTTGCATCCTGGCAACATCTTGGTCGAAGCGGATCCCGAGTCGACCGGAGGAACGCTGTCCTGGCTGCGGAGGTTCATCGATCGCGATCACCGGACGATCGATCCGCGCTTGATCATCCTCGATTGCGGTTTGGTGGTGTCGTTGAACGCTCGATGTCAGCGAAATCTCAGAGACGTGTTTCGCTCGGTATTGCTGGGCAATGTGCGTACGCTCGCGGTCGTCCTCTTTCTCTCTTTCTCTCTTTCTCTCTTTTTCTCGTTTTCTTTCTCTTTCTTTTCGCAGGAAACGAAAACGAATAACGAATACGCCTCGCGTGCCTCGCGCGCGCGCGCGACCGATCGTGCTTTTAGGGTGAACTGGCGGCGGAGTACATTCTCGAACACAGCTCGCAAGCGTGTCCCGACCCGGACGGTTTTAAAACGACGTTGAGGAGGATCGTCGACACTCATCTGAGCAGCAAAGCGAACGTAATCGGAATCGGAAACGACACGCGCGGGGTGAGACGAAATAACTTGGCCGTCTCGGACGTACCTCGGTTTCGTTTTGTAATAGGAAGAAGAAATATTTGATATTCGTTCACGTTGCAATTCTTTTCGAAAGGAACATATTTCCATGGTCGTTGCGCGATAGGTCGGGTCGAGACCGATCCATCGTCGAGCTGTCGCGCAACCGCGCGTCTTCGAACGCGAAAAGTTCAAAAACGTTTCGGCGCGTCGTTTCTTCCCATTAGGAGATACCGGCTAGATATTCGAGGAGGTCGAGTTATTTCGCGTTTCGTTTCGATACGCGCTTATAATCCACGCGACTGTTTCAGGTGAACGTGAACACGGTCATGAGCGAATTATTTTCAGCGATGATTCGGCACGGCGTGAAGCAGGACGGATCGTTCAGCACCGTGATCCTGAGCTTGGCGATGATCGAAAGCATCGGACGCAGCCTGTATCCGGACATGGACGTCTTCGCGGAAGTTCTACCGTTCGTTTTCACCGGCGTTCCCATGTACGACGAATCGGAGTCGGAGCAACGGTAGATAAAACGAGTGTGGCAAGGGAGGCGCGTTCTTTCGATCGCGGCAGAAGCGATCGGCCGGCGAGAACGCTCTCGCGGACACCGATCGGATTCAGGAAGTACGCGCGCGCGCGGGCGCGCGCGCTCGGAGCCGAGAAAATTCCTGAATTAATGACACAACGCGAAACGAGTTCCAAGGAGGATTCCGATATTAAAACAGACGGCAGGAGGAACGCGTAATCGCTCCGGACAGAATTCCGGCGAGCGACCAGTTATCCGCGATCGCTTCCTGGTTGGTCACCGTCGGCCGATCATCTTCGACGCGGCTGCGATAGGTCGAGTCGTCGCGTCGCGTCGAGCAGCGTCGAACACCGTCGGAGCGTAGCGCGCGCGTGTGCGCGTTTCTCGCGCTCGTACGCTCGCACGCGCGCTCGCCTCGCTCTCGTCTCTCGTCTCTCGTCTCTCGCGTCTCGCGTCTCGCGTCTCGTAAAGGAGTGCCACACGTTCCACGTGTTCCACGCGTGCCACGTGTACCCGACGCATCGGCCGGGTTCGATTTCGTTTTTGCCGTTTCAAACCCGAAATTCGCTTTAATTTCGCACGGCGCGCGCGATTACAAAATTTTCTCTCGCGATATCTCTGGCCGTATCTCGCGAGCGGTCGACGAGAAAAGCTCGCGATCGCTTCGAGGGATCATGTCCGAACGTGGTCACCGGTGGCAACGGTACGGTAAGTCGGTGCATCGAGTCGCTGCGTCGCGCCTGATAAATTCGTTTCTCGCCGGGAGTACCAGAACCGGAACCAGAACCAGAACCAGAACCAGAACCAGAACCAAAGTCAGAACCAGAATCAGAACCAGAACCAGAACCAGAACCAGAACCAAAACCAGAACTAGAAGCAGAACTGCGACCGAAACTGCGATCTCGAACGGCAACTCATGAGCGATCGTGTGCTCGTTCTTTCTTCGGGTTCCTACCGATCGCGAAACAACCCCCTCCGATAGTTTCGCGAGTCGAAGAAGATCGGCATGGCATGGAAAGGCATAGCTGAACAGAGCAAAGCAGAGCTGAACGGAGCAGAGCTGAACAGAGCAGAGCAGGGCATGGTAGAGTAGGGTAGGGTAGCGACGTCCGGAAGACGGCACGAGGGGGGACCAACTTGCGCCGCAAAGTCGCGGCGGCGCAACGGCGCGTGTAAACAGAGGACAGCTAACAGGGCAGATAATAAAGTTCGTCTTCGAGAGCGGCGACGGACACGGACACGGACACGGACACGTACACGGATACGAACACGGACGCGGACGCGAACGCGATCACGGACCGGGCCCTCGACGTCCGCTCTCGACGCTGCTTTCCGTTTCCCATATCGATATTCGAAGCCGATCGAGATACCGTCGATTCGTAGATCGAATTCGTCGACGGCGCCGCTACCTGCCGATTAACCGCTCGATCGGTATCCCGTCCGCCGCTCGCCGCTGCTCCGGATCGGTCTCGATCGTCGTTGGATTCGCCTCGTCGAATTTGCTCGTCGGCCGCGCGTTCGAAGATTCGATGCTGCGCGCGCTCGCGAATCTCGTCTAGAACCGTTCCGAGCGTTTTCCTCCGGCCCGTTATCGCGAATCGAACGTTATTCGCGATCTATCGGCCGTTCTCTCGTTCCTTCGTCCTTGCGTTCGTTCGCAGTCGAATTTCTCTTCTTATCGGTTACGGTCGACTCTACCGCTACCGCGCTGCCTCTACCGCTACCGCTACCAATTTCACCGCTACGCTACGACCACTGCCACGATCGCCACCACCGTCGTCGTTGAAACCACCGCTACCGAAGCTACACAACCACCACCACCACCACCACCACCACCACCGCCGCTGGAACCGCTACCACCGCTATCGTCGCCGCCGCCGCCACCACTATTTTCGTCATCGTCGTAATCGTCATCACCGTCGCATCGCCATCACGATCGCCATCGCCATCGCTATCATCGTCGCCGTCGTATCGTCGTAATCGTTATCGTCTTCGGTGCTTCCAAAATTATAACCATCGCCGTCCGCGAGAACGATAGCCACGAGGACGTTCGGCGTTTCCTTTTAACGGTTCCCTGGACTACGCACACCTGGACTCCGTAAGTAGAAGAACGTATCATTATCGTTCGCTCGTTTGTACTCGTCACGCGAGTTTGCGAGTTCGGCTCGCTCTCCGATCTCGGATCTTGAATCTCGAATCACGGATCCGAGCGTTTCCGGGTTCGGATGCTCTTCGAGAGTTCGTTTCCGAACGGTGATTCTCGGTTCGCGTGCCACCGTGCCGGCGTGCAGAACGCGATACGGGACCGAACGGTCCGGCAATTTGCTAGCGAAGCTCGGAAATGGATTTGCTTTCAGGATCGATTTTTACGATTTTCCATTGCTCGGACAAAGAAAATCGAATCAACCTCGCGCGCAACGTTCGATCGGAGGATAAGTAGCGTTCGCAGCGAACCACGCTGGAGCGAGAATTCGCTTTCTTCGGCTCGAACGATCTCGGCGTCGTTACGGTACGATGGGTCGTTGAATTCGTCTCGACGCCGGCTAGAATATTATCGAGTCGGAAATATGCGTCGACGTATCAAATATATACATATATATATATCAAGGCGACCAGCATTTTTTATAGAAGAAAGTTCTTTTTTCGGAAGCTTTTATATTCTAATACGCGAAATAGCGAATATCGACTAGCTTTCGTTGCAAAAACATTATTTTGTCGGATCGTTAAAAATGTCTGCGACATCGTGGTGTTTTGGTGAAAATGAAACGGTATCTACGATCGAAATACGTTAAAGAAAATATCGTACTCTTTTACGTTAAAAACGAGCCGTTTCAACGACCGCGTATTTCGTCGCGAGAAACGCGAACAATCGTAAATCTTTGGGACGAACGAATCGACGGGATCGGTATTCCAGTACCCGAAGCCGAAAGATACGGTTCGTCGAAATTATAAACGGTACGCGAGGTCCGCGTTCCTCCGCTCGTCGTCCGTTCGAAGAAGTCGGTCGAGCGGCGACGCGACGTTGAAAATACTGCTCGCGGTTCGTTAAAATCCGTGGAAACTTGGAAAGCGCGGATATAATCGTGGCTGAAATTTGTACGATCCTTTTCGCAACGCCGCGAGCTTCCGTACGAAACGAATCGCCGCGTAACCGAAAAGGAATCGAAATCCAGCGATCGGCGACGAGCTTCCGATAGGCCGCGTTCGACTCTTTCTCGTTTCGCTAATCGCGCTCTCCGAAAGCACCGAGACAGATAACATACGCGTATTTACACGTTGGCTCCTCGATAATAACGTCGGCAAACGTTCGCGTCGACTTTCGCCGGAATAGGTACATACGTTCGTATAGAAACAAAGCGAGTCCTCTCGTCCGTCCCTCGAGTCGCGTCGCGTCGATCCGGCGCGTTTCTTATCGCGCCTCGGCAAATCTTGCGCGTCGATTCGTTGCGAGGGTATACGCGTATCCGCTCTAAATATCGTCTCTCTCCGCAATATTTTCATTCGCTTACCTTCTCGACGCGATTTCCGCCGACTCGGCGCCGAGAACCGATTAAAATCGGGAGCACGAAGGTTAAAGGGCGAAGGTTCGCGGACGATACCCGCGGTTCCGAGGACGGAGGAAGGTTTCAGCGACGTCGAGTCGTCGGGCAAAATCGAGAAACGTCGATTCCTAGGTCAAGTTCATCGTGCCAGGGTTCTCCAAATTCGACGACGCGCGCTCTCGCCGGTTTCGAAAATCCTTCGACGAGCGACCGTTGAATCGAAGCGAATCGCTGTTTGTTGTCGAACCGATCGGCGGCGACGTTTCGCCGACTCATCCGAGTACACCGAGCACACGATCAATCGGAGACGTTCCCAGATAACACGGACGCGTCGGTTCGCGCGACTCCGCGGCACGCGGGGAAAAATATTTTCGCGTTCGCCGCGCGAAACGGGAAAGCGGTTCGCGAAGCGGATACTTTGGAGAAGGTCGCGGCATCGGCGACGCGGGCGTCGTTCGCGTCAAAGTTGGAACGCGAGGCGTGGCGAGGCGAGGCGAGGCGAGGCGAGGCGAGGCGAGGCGAGGCGAGGCGAGGCGAGGCGACGCGGCCGTCCGTCGACCGAGGAAATACGCGACGAGCGGTCGGTCGCGTCGCTCCTCGAACACCACGAAACGCGCCGTTGTGCCGGCGCATTCGAGAGCGTCGGCTCCGGCGATCCGTCCAACGGCTCCGGAGATTAGCGACTCGACGCAGAAGCGGCAGCCGCGCCTCGCCGCGTCGCGCCGCGCCGCGTCGCGCCGCGCCGCGCCACGCCGGGTCATCGCGGCGACACGCGTTATCGACGCGTTGCAAATACGTATTGTGCGTATTCTTGCTATATAGAAGAAACGCGGTCCATAAATAACGCCGGGGCAATCTCGCCCGAAGAACCGGCGACTCGTCAGTTTTTTCGGTCTCTGTTCGCGGCGCGGCGCGGCACGGCGCGACGTGCCTCGAGAGCCCACCCACCGCTCGCGTTCGGTTCAATCTCGTTTCGTTTCGTTTCGTTCGTCCGATTTCGTCCGCGTCTGTGATTCGCGATATACGAGAATCTCCGACTCCTTCGAACGATTTTCCGCACGATTTCTCGCGCCTCGAGTCTCGCGTTCGCGATCGTAAATCGAGAGATTGCAGGGGACTGTTTTCGGAGCCGGTGGTGGTGCCGGTGGTGGTGCCGGTGGTGGTGCCGGTGGTGCCGGATCGCGGAGAGGAAGACGACCGAGAGCGAACGGTAAACAGCAGTTTGGATCGTTCCCGCAGGAATAACGTCGTCGCAGCGTTCCTAGATGTTCCTTTCGATCGCCTGGTTCGAGGCGTTCGCCGCGACGCTTCTGGCCGTTCTGATCCTCGCGACCGGCTATCGGCCCGCTTGGTGGTTCCGGACCGGAGCGTTTCACAGGAAAAATGGTGAGTTTCGCTCGTCGTGGGTAAAATTTCCGTTCGCGCGGTCCGCCGCGCCGCGCGGCTTTTCGCGTTTTACGAACTTTTCGTGCGCTCTCGCGCGGCTGGCATGCGCCGCCGTTCGCCGTTCGCCGTTCGCGCGCGGTCCACGGCGTCCGAGAGCCGACGAGGAAAGAGCAAAGGAAAGAGAGAAAGGAAGTGAGAAAATTGTACTCGCAGAGGCGTGTTCGAAGGCGCTTGACCTTCAATTTGAAGCGACTCGGTGCCGCACCGTCCCGCGCCGCGCCGCTCTTCGCTCTTCGCTCTTCGCTCACGGCTCGCGGCACACGGCTCGCAGCTCGCAGCTCGTGGGCTTACGGTCACGGTCCCCCTTTCTAAGCGCGGCGCTCGCGGTTATGCGCGACAAGGTCGCGCTGTTCTCCCGTCCTTCGACCTTAGAGACGACTTTCTTGCGCTCGCGCGGCGGACGATTGAGAAAGCGCGAGGCTCGAACGCGAAACGTTGCTCGCGCCGTAGCTTCGTCGTCGCGGGGAAAGGGAGAAGGGAAATTGGATCCTCCGAGCGCGGCGTCGTCCGCGCTCGTCGGTTGTGAATCGTTCACGGCGATCGACAGCTCCGACCGAGGAGGAGCCCGAGGGAAGCGAGGGAGGCGATGGAAGCTGCAAGACGGTGTCCGACGTGCCGGGCCCGTACCCGCTGCCGATCTTCGGCACCAGATGGATATTCTCGTGGTTCGGTAGCTATCGGTTGAACAAGATCCACGAGGCTTACAAAGGTAAGGCCGCGATGTCCTGCGCGGCCCCTCCGAATCCCGGAGGATGCGGTTGAACTCAGCCCGCTGTTTCTAATTCAAGAATAGATCTGCATCGACGTTACGGGCCGCTGTGCAAGGAAGAGGGACTGTGGAACTTCCCGGTGATCTCGGTGTTCTCCCGCCCCGACATCGAAGCCGTTCTCCGACGAAGCTCGCGGTATCCGCTCCGTCCTCCGCAAGAGGTGATATCCTACTACCGGCGAAACCGTCGCGATCGTTACACGAATCTTGGCCTGGTCAACGAGTGAGTAGTCGAACCGCCGCNGCGTGGCGAGGCGAGGCGAGGCGAGGCGAGGCGAGGCGAGGCGAGGCGAGGCGAGGCGAGGCGAGGCGAGGCGACGCGGCCGTCCGTCGACCGAGGAAATACGCGACGAGCGGTCGGTCGCGTCGCTCCTCGAACACCACGAAACGCGCCGTTGTGCCGGCGCATTCGAGAGCGTCGGCTCCGGCGATCCGTCCAACGGCTCCGGAGATTAGCGACTCGACGCAGAAGCGGCAGCCGCGCCTCGCCGCGTCGCGCCGCGCCGCGTCGCGCCGCGCCGCGCCACGCCGGGTCATCGCGGCGACACGCGTTATCGACGCGTTGCAAATACGTATTGTGCGTATTCTTGCTATATAGAAGAAACGCGGTCCATAAATAACGCCGGGGCAATCTCGCCCGAAGAACCGGCGACTCGTCAGTTTTTTCGGTCTCTGTTCGCGGCGCGGCGCGGCACGGCGCGACGTGCCTCGAGAGCCCACCCACCGCTCGCGTTCGGTTCAATCTCGTTTCGTTTCGTTTCGTTCGTCCGATTTCGTCCGCGTCTGTGATTCGCGATATACGAGAATCTCCGACTCCTTCGAACGATTTTCCGCACGATTTCTCGCGCCTCGAGTCTCGCGTTCGCGATCGTAAATCGAGAGATTGCAGGGGACTGTTTTCGGAGCCGGTGGTGGTGCCGGTGGTGGTGCCGGTGGTGGTGCCGGTGGTGCCGGATCGCGGAGAGGAAGACGACCGAGAGCGAACGGTAAACAGCAGTTTGGATCGTTCCCGCAGGAATAACGTCGTCGCAGCGTTCCTAGATGTTCCTTTCGATCGCCTGGTTCGAGGCGTTCGCCGCGACGCTTCTGGCCGTTCTGATCCTCGCGACCGGCTATCGGCCCGCTTGGTGGTTCCGGACCGGAGCGTTTCACAGGAAAAATGGTGAGTTTCGCTCGTCGTGGGTAAAATTTCCGTTCGCGCGGTCCGCCGCGCCGCGCGGCTTTTCGCGTTTTACGAACTTTTCGTGCGCTCTCGCGCGGCTGGCATGCGCCGCCGTTCGCCGTTCGCCGTTCGCGCGCGGTCCACGGCGTCCGAGAGCCGACGAGGAAAGAGCAAAGGAAAGAGAGAAAGGAAGTGAGAAAATTGTACTCGCAGAGGCGTGTTCGAAGGCGCTTGACCTTCAATTTGAAGCGACTCGGTGCCGCACCGTCCCGCGCCGCGCCGCTCTTCGCTCTTCGCTCTTCGCTCACGGCTCGCGGCACACGGCTCGCAGCTCGCAGCTCGTGGGCTTACGGTCACGGTCCCCCTTTCTAAGCGCGGCGCTCGCGGTTATGCGCGACAAGGTCGCGCTGTTCTCCCGTCCTTCGACCTTAGAGACGACTTTCTTGCGCTCGCGCGGCGGACGATTGAGAAAGCGCGAGGCTCGAACGCGAAACGTTGCTCGCGCCGTAGCTTCGTCGTCGCGGGGAAAGGGAGAAGGGAAATTGGATCCTCCGAGCGCGGCGTCGTCCGCGCTCGTCGGTTGTGAATCGTTCACGGCGATCGACAGCTCCGACCGAGGAGGAGCCCGAGGGAAGCGAGGGAGGCGATGGAAGCTGCAAGACGGTGTCCGACGTGCCGGGCCCGTACCCGCTGCCGATCTTCGGCACCAGATGGATATTCTCGTGGTTCGGTAGCTATCGGTTGAACAAGATCCACGAGGCTTACAAAGGTAAGGCCGCGATGTCCTGCGCGGCCCCTCCGAATCCCGGAGGATGCGGTTGAACTCAGCCCGCTGTTTCTAATTCAAGAATAGATCTGCATCGACGTTACGGGCCGCTGTGCAAGGAAGAGGGACTGTGGAACTTCCCGGTGATCTCGGTGTTCTCCCGCCCCGACATCGAAGCCGTTCTCCGACGAAGCTCGCGGTATCCGCTCCGTCCTCCGCAAGAGGTGATATCCTACTACCGGCGAAACCGTCGCGATCGTTACACGAATCTTGGCCTGGTCAACGAGTGAGTAGTCGAACCGCCGCGAGCCGAGGTCGAGGTCGAGGTCGAAGTCGAGTTCGAACGCAAGGTCGAGTTCGAACGCAAGGTCGAGTTCGCGCGTCTCTTCGATCGGTATTCTCGAATCGTTCCATGTTCTGTCGCGCGCGGAGAGAGACGCGCCAACTTTTTAGAGACGACCCGCGTTCGAATCCGTCGCGGCCTCTAAAGACGCGATACGAAAACGGTGGTGATACGCGCGTCGAAATAAACGCGAGTCGAATCGACGGAGCACCGACGAGAATTTTCGACAGACAGGGGAAACTGTGGCACGATCTTCGGACAGCGCTCACGTCGGAGCTGACGGGGGCCAGCACCGTCCTCGGTTTCTTCCCGGCGTTGAACACCGTCGCCGACTCCTTCGTCGATCTGATTCGTCGCCGAAGAACGGCCGGGTACCGAGTAACGGGATTCGAGGAGCTCGCCTACAAGATGGGACTGGAAAGTAAGCCGGCCGCCGAAGCGTTTCGGTCGTTTCCCGACCGCTTCTCCGCAAACCCGCTTTAACCCGCTCTCGTCGTTCGTCGCTTTCGCGTTCTCTCTTCTCAGGTACTTGCACGCTGATCCTCGGCCGACACCTCGGCTTCCTGAAGTCCGACTCGAGCAAGACGGTCTCCTCGAGACTGGCGGAAGCCGTCCGGGTTCACTTCACCGCCTCGCGCGACGCCTTTTACGGCCTGCCGCTTTGGAAGCTGCTGCCGACGTCCGCGTACAAGCAGCTGATCGAGAGCGAGGACGCGATATACAGGTGCGCGAGAGAGGCCGATCGAACACCGACGTCGAAAAGCGTCGCCGAGGCGTCCCGATTCTAGCTTCCGCGTTGCCGTTTCAGCATCATCTCGGAGATCGTCGAGGCGACCATTCGCGAGAAGCGGGACGACGCCAGAGACGAATCCGTGGAGGCGGTCTTTCAGTCGATTCTGGGCCAAAAGAATCTGGACATGCGGGACAAGAAGGCGGCGATCGTCGACTTCATCGCGGCCGGGATCCACACGGTGAGCGCTCGACGATCGATCGATCGATCTTCCGGAACGATTTTCTTTCTTTTCTTCTTCTTCTACTCTCGTCCACGCGCGCCATCGCGCGTCCTCGCGATTTTTCGTTCTCGGCCGCTCGCAGCTCGGCAACACTCTGGTCTTCCTGTTCCATCTGATCGGCCGCAACCCACCGGTCCAAGCTCGGCTCTACGAAGAAGCCCGCACGTTGGCTCCGCCCGGCTGCGACCTGGCCGTCGAGGACCTTCGGAAGGCCAAGTATCTGCGCGCCTGCATAACCGAAGCTTTCCGGTGCGTCCACCCTCGTTCGCGTCTCGCGGCAAATTCACATTTCTACGTATTTCGAATTCGTGGACTCTCTCGTTGATTCGTCGACTCGTTTGCCCGCAGCGCGATGCCCACGACGACGTGCGTCGCACGAATCCTGGACGAGCCCATCCAGCTCGCCGGATATCATCTTGCCGCAGGGGTGAGTTTCTCGATCGACGCGCACGACCGTCGCCGAGAGTCGACGTTCCTCTCTCTCTCTCTCATCGCCGATACTTTTCTTCGCCTCGCAGACCTTGGTGATACTGCACACTTGGATAGCCGGTCTCGACGAAGAGAACTTTAAGGACGCCGCGGAATACTTGCCCGAGAGATGGCTGGCTCCCCTCGCTCCCCATTCGCCGATGCTGGTCGCGCCTTTCGGGACGGGAAGAAGGATATGTCCGGGGAAACGTTTCGTCGAGCTCGCGTTGCAGCTCGTCCTGGCAAAGGTACGAACCGTAAATCCCCGTTGTCCCGTCGGTCTCCGTCGCGCGATCGGCGAACGAACGTTCGCAGCCTCTTGGGAAAACGGTAACGAAAGAAGACGGCGGGCAACAACGATTCGCGAAACGACGACGTCTAACGCGATTCTTTTCTTCCCCAGATTATCCGAGAATTCGAGATTGTCGCGGAGGAGGAGCTTGGTTTACAGTTCGAGTTCATCCTCGCGCCAGAGAGCCCGGTGTTTCTCGGTTTCCGCGATCGAACCGCAACGACCTGAACCGCTTCGTTTCGTTTCGTTTCGTTTCGTTTCGTTTCGTTCCGTTTAGTTTAGTTTCGTTTCGTTTCGTTTTCATCGCGGATCACGCGCGTTGTAGTATTTATACGGGATCGAGTCGACGAGATCTCGCGTTCGCGTTTCGGCGTTGTTCTTTTTCGTTTCGTCGGGTGGCCGCTCGACGCCGAACCCGAACGCCGTTTCCACGTAGCCGAATACCTTTTCACGAGTCGTGTAAAATATGTAGATACCTACCTTTTCTTCGTTAATACAATACGATACGATACCGACGAACGCGTGGAAGAAGACGCGACACGTTTGTTCCCAGTTCTCAGATCCCCAGTTCCAAACCCCGAGAAAACGATCCACGCTCGACGAAAATTAAATTACGTTTATTCAACTCGTTAATTCGACCAACGATCGTCGTCGCGGCTTACAACTTGCGCGCGATCGTCCGCGAAACTTGCGCGCCTCCGACGCGTCCAGTTAGTATACGCTTAGAAATATATTACATGCTTGTAAACGAGTCCCGAGAGACCGGAAGGAATAATTATGATCGGACCGATGGCCGGACGAAAATCGTCGCGAGCCGGTCGCGATCTCGATCATTTCACCGAACCTTTCACGCTTCTGGGAAGATTCGGATTCGAGCCTTTGTTCGCGCTCGCGGCCGTCGGTCTCATGAAACCGTGGCTCTTGGCGACGACGGTTCGAGGTTGAATCAGTCTGCTCCTCGTAGCCGGCAGTTTCTCGACGTTGGATCGTTCCAGAGAAGTCGGCGATCGTTGGTTCGCGGCGTTCGCGGCGTTCGCGGCGCCGGCGTTGCCGATCGTCCGGCTCTTGTTCCCTTTCGACTTGGAGGCGTCGCTCGACGTCTGGGAACATTCGACGTCGACGATTCGTACAGTTTTATCGCTGCGAGGAACGACTACCGCGAACGGGACGTTGTCCTTGTTGTCTCGAAAATTACGGAATCTCTTCGTATCGCGATCAAACTTTTTCGTTGTCTCGTCCCGAACGAAAGCGTCCCGTTCGCGGTGATTCGACTCGGAAAATAAGCTCACCCCGAGAGGCCTCCGAACCGTCCTGGCGGCGATGGCGGCGGGGCCGACGCTGCTTCCGCTGCTGCTGCTCCTGCTGGCGGGTATCCTGGTGACGGCGGCGGTTCGCGGATCGGTCCGCCGCTTCTCGAGGTTCTTCGGCGGCAGGGGCGTGCTCGACGGACTCTTGCGAAGGTTGTTGGTCAACGCTCGGATCGCGGACGTGTAGGTCCTCAGGCGAACGTGATTCGGCACCAAGTTTCTCACGGTGTTGACCGAAGTGGCGCTGTTCAGGGAGCTCCTCGAGCTGCGCAGGCTGCTTCTGGAGCCCGACCTCTCGACCTCGTTTCTCGACGGATTTCTCGGCTGGCCGCTCGACGAGACCGATCCGGCGGTCGCCGCGTTCGCCGCGTTCGCCGCGTCTCGTTTCGCGCCGCCGGTTCGCTTCGGCAAGAAGCTGCTCCTCTCCGACGCGCTCCTCGGCGAACCTCCTCGTTTCCCGAACCCTTTGATCGGCGATCCGAAAGGTCGATCGTCGGCCGGCTTTTTGGCGCGACGATCCTCGCCTCCGCCGTCGTTTCGTGCCGCGCGAACCGAATCGGTTCCGGAGAAGCGCAGTTCGGCCGGGGAACAGCGGGTCGAGTCGTGCGCGTCCGTCTCGTAGTTGCCGGACGACGTTTCTTGGCTCAAGGTTTCCGAGACCAGGCTCTGGGACTCCTCGAATCCCTCGTCGTTCATGTCCTGATCTCGACCCTTCGAAGGTAGACCCGGGGACGTCGCGACGACGATCTCGGGAACGTATCTCGTCGCCGGTCGCGTTCTTTTGCCGTCCTTGTCGTCGCCGATCGAGGTCTCGTAGACTCGAGCGTCGTCGGCCGACCGTCGGGCCAGCTTCGCGTCGTTGGCCGAGTCGGTTCGATCCTCGCTGCTGTCCTCCTCGTCCTCGTCTTCCTCCTCCTCCTCCTCCTCCTCTTCCATCGCGCCGTCCGCGGAGGACGCGAACCGTCTTCGCGCGTTCCGAGCCTGATTCACCTGACTAGGCGGGTTGTTGGTCAATCTTATCGCCTCCTTGACCTGACTAGGATCGATCATGCTCCTCTGACGTTCTCGACTGGTCACCGCTCTCTCCGCGAGGACCGTCGTCGAAGGTTCGCGAGGCCGGGACTCTTGCATCACGGGGCTCAGCACGGTGTTGGTCACCGCCAGAACCGGCGGCGGCGGCGGTTGACCGACCGGCAGCCTGGAATTTCGGCGCGCGAACGCGATCGGTCGGGTCAGCCGCTGGAGGTCCTCGCCGGTACGGGCGATGTCCGCGAGCGCGGCGTCGACGTCGAACGAGGCCGCGTCGCGCCGCTTCAGCTTCTCCTGCCAGACCCTCAGCATCGCGTCCTGCTCGAGGCCGGCACCGTGCTCCGCGGGGGTCGCGGTCGCGGTCGCGTTCGCGTTCGCGTTCGCGTCGACGGCCGGTTGTTGCTCGCACAAGGGCAACGTGTGCGGACGTTGGACCGGTTTCTCGTCGAACGTTTCCGCGCTCGGCGCCGGTCGATGATCCTGCCTCGACTCCTTTTCCGGGCAGTCTTGCACCTTTTTGTATCTCCGCGTTCGCCTCGTCGCCGAGTATCGATCGAAGTTACCTGAAACCACGAATTTCTCGCTGAAACCCGCTCGAACGAAGAAAGAACGTCGGCCGACACTTACCCGCGCCAAAATCTCCGCCGCCGCAAACGTTGCCGTTGTTGTCGCCGACGACGACGACACCGCTGCCGCCGAGACCGCCGCCGAGACCGCCGCCGAGACCGCCGCCGAGACCGCCGCCGTGACTCGCGGCCTTCGCCGTCGCGTTTCTGACCGAACCGTTGCACCGTTCCCTCTTGCACGGCTCCTTCTCGACCGGCTTCACCTCCTTCGGCGGTCCGAACAGCTTCCTCGTCGCCGGCGGCGTTTCGATGTTGTCCGAATCGATCTCGATCTTGTCGCTGATCTTCTTCTCCTCTTCCGGAGCCTTCTTCTGCTTGGGCAACCTCCGCGACCCGGAGATCCGAGAGCTGCCGTACGGTTCGCGCAAGTAGATCGTCAGCTCGTCCCGATTGTCCGAGCCGGCGGCGTCGTTGGTTCTGTTTCGCTTCCTCTCTTCCTCCTTGATCGACTGCAGGATCCCGGCGGAGGCGAGAACGTTTTCCGCGCCTCCGATTCTCGATCTCGATCGACGCGAGTGTCGCGGGTCCGTCTCCTCCGTGCTGTTCGGCACGTTCAAGCTGGACTTCCTCCAGGGAGATTTGTCCTTTTGCGACGGATGCGTTTCGGCTTCTGAAAACGGAAACGCGAGCAACGAGTTTTAGCATGGACGAGACGCGACAACCCTGTCCGAAACACAACCTTCGATAGCCTCCATCGTGCGCATCACGTCCGTCTTTTCGACCGACGGCCGCCAATCGTACAGCCGAGGGCATGGCTCGTGCGTAGAATTCGCATCGGTCGGGGTGTTGGTGGTCTTGCCTTCGCTTTCTGCGGATCGGACGAAAACGCGTACGCGATAGATTAGTTGCGCGGTAAACGCGAATCTCCCCCCGATCGACTCGCTCGGCTTCCGCGCGAAAACGGACGAAGAAGAACGAGCAAGGCTCGATCGATCGCGTGCCTCCTTCTTTCCAAATCGTCCATTTTTTCGATCGGGAGACGTTTACCTTATTATGCACGGGCTGTTCGCGCCAACGTCGGCTCCCGCGTTTTTCTCACCGATATCTACGAACCGGTGGAAAATAACGAAAGAGGAAAAAGTTGCACCGTTTTTGGCGAGCGAACGAGTTACGGTGTCCGTTGTATTCGCGAAAAAACAAAACGAACGCGACTTACTCCTCGTTCGTTCTCGGATGGCGTGGCGCGAACGTCCCGCGTACGCGCGCGTGGCCGCCGCATCGCGGTGCCTGGACGCGACGGAAACCGCGCGCACGCGTTCCAGAACGATTTACCCGAGTCTTCGAAGGACCGTCGGTTCGCCGCCTGGTGCAATTGTCGCGCTCTCCTCTGCAGCTGTTCGCCCGCGCGATCTTCCTTCTCGTTCTCCGACAGCCACGCCTCGATCTTCTGTCGCCACGCTTTTCTGTTCGGGCGTACGATAAAGAGATAAAGAGAGAGAGAGAGAGAGAGAGAGAGAAATTTGAAAAAAATGCGAAAAATTACCCCGCGGGTTTGGTCTCCTCTTCCTCCTGCAAGAAGGGCTTGCTTTCCACGAGAGGCGACGGAGAACTCGGCCTCTCTCTGTCGGTCGAAAAGTCGGCCGTCAGCAGATCGCTCCTGCGAGACTGGCCTCGCGCTTTCCTCGCCCACGAACGATCTGTCGGTGGAAGCGATTTCGAGATATCGATCAGAGACGTCGGACTTTTTCTCGGTCCGTCGACGAGAGCGCGAGACGAAAAATGTCACCGTACCTAGACTACCCCAGGACTTTCTCTCGCGAGCGTTGTCCTGACCCGAGGTTCTCAAAAAGTCCATCAGATTGCCGTCGTCGTCCTCGCAGGGTATCCGGCTCCTGCGACGACGAAGAGTACCGTTCGGCGTCACGTCTGTCGGAAGAAACGAAACCTAGATTAGCGTCGGCCGACTCGTCGATCGTCGCGGCGTCGCACCTGGGGAATAGGTGGAATCTTCTTTGGTAGATTGCTGGTCGACGGTTCCGGAACAGGAGCCCAATCGTCGTCGGATGCTCGGGGATCCGGCGATCGAGACGTCCTCGTCGGACGTCATCCCTCCGTTTTGCAACCTTTTCATCTGCCGACGGAGAACGCGAAGATCAGAGAGATCGAAAATCGTCGAAAGAGATCGCGAGGCCCGGCCTACCTTGGCGTCGTTGCGGTTGTAACTTCTTTGCGGCAAACCGGGATGGAAGTCGAAGAGAGCATCGTAGTCGAGGATGTTCGACTCCGACTCGGAGGCGGGCGTCGTCTCCGCCGCTTGACTCGCGACTGTCGAGGATAATTTGTGAAAAAAAGAGGGAGAGAGAGAGAGAGAGAGAGAGAGGGTGAAAGAGCAAACAACGACGAACATACGGAATCGCTTTTTAGCCAGCAGCTGCTCCTCCCGCTGCCTGCGCCTGGCCAGCACCTGCTCCTCCTGGACGCGCCGCCTCTCGTTCTCCGCGACCGCTTGATTGAACTTTTGGCAGAACTGGTGGAATATCTTGAAGCACTCCTCGATCTTGAACGCGTTCGCGTCCTCGCAGAAGAACTCGGCGAGCGTTCGCCTGACGGTCTCGAGCTCCTCCGTGTCGCGCTTCAGCTGGCTCATCTCCTGCTCCGCCATCTGCAAGAATTGCGCCATTTGCTCCTGAATGTCGAGTTCCGTAGTGGCCAGCCGGATCTGCGCCTTGATCTTCTTGATCTTGGTGTCGAGCGCGTTGAACTCGTTGCTCAGCTGCTCCGTGGTGGTCCTTGCGCCCCGGAAACAGAACGTCGACGGGTCAAACGGGGCCCCGAGGTGCTCGCGCGAATCGATAAAAATTTGGCAACTCGAGAGTCCGCTTACTTGGTGGCCGCCTCGAGCGCGTTCATGCTCTTCGCGAAGTCCAGCAAGTCCTTTCGTTTCCTCTCGGCTTGCTGCGGAGCACAACATTTACCTACTCTAGGAGATACGTACCTCTTGCTAGATTCGCCCTACGAGTCCCGCAGGACTCTAGGACTCTAGGACTCTAGGACTCTAGGAGTCTAGGAACAGAAAGCGCACTTTACCAGAGCAACGTAGTGAATCAGATTCATTCCCGGCTTGTTCGCTCGAATCTCGGTCAGCTTTTGCAGAGACGACAGCTTCACTCCGGCCGCGTTTCCAGCGTAACCGCCCTACGATACAATCGTGCGTTCGTTTCGTTCGGATTTCGTTCGTTCGAGAGCGGCTCACCGAGTTGAGGAAATTCCCGGCGACCAGGACCATGTAGAGCAGCTCTTGGAGCGGCTTGTTCGTCATCAGATCCTCCCCGGCGAGGATCATCGAGTTGATGCTCGGCTCCAGGTAGCCCATGTTGGCGGCGAACTCTTCCTTCAGGAGCATGCACTCTATCCGCAGCTTGTAGCTTCGGGAAAAAGAAGCGGGATCGAGATTAGTCGGATTCTCGTGCCACGCGTTCGGCGAGCAAAGGCTTACTTGGGGACTTGGACGAGTTGCAGAAAGAATTTCTCGGCGTTGCCGAGCTTCGACTTGTCGCCGTCGAAACTCTTCAGCATCTCGAGCTCGTCCACCTCGGGGAGAATCTTGAGAAGGCCCCGCAACTTCTCCGCCCCGATGTCGTCGTGACCGCCCTCTCTGATCAGCTGAACGATGTCTTCGTTCGAACTGCGTGCCGACGCGCGACGATTAGAACGTCTTTTCCTCCCCCCCCCCCCCCCCCCCCCCCCCCCCCCCCCCCCCTTCCCCCTCCCCCCCCCCTCCC